CTGACGAGCACCTGGCGCATGTGAGCAGGAAGAAGGTGAAAGTTACAAAAGAATTTCGAATGTGTGTAAGATAATCTTGGTATCATTTTGCATTTTTTGTTCGTAAAGTTGGAAACGAACCGCAAATGAGATATCACAGGCTGCAAAAAAGGAGCCACTGTGTTTGGCCGGAAACACGACGACAATGTTGTAAAGGCTGCGGTGTTCTGGAGTGTGACAGTACCTGCCAAAGTACAGTGCATAAGTAATTCCAGAATTAGCACTTGACTTCTTGCTATCCGATGCCTTACTAAATTTTAAAAATGTTGCCGATTCTAAATTTCCCGCCAAACACAGCCGTACTGGCCCTGAACAATAGCATTTATCCCAAACAAATGATCCAGAGAGATGCTTAAGACGATATTATTCCTGAGGGATCATCTGCATGTGAGGCCATGGCTGCCGCTAATCGATTTCAAAATAAACAGATTCTTGTCGCAGGTTAATACTGGACCATCTCTTAGCGTACTCTGCACCGACAGCTGCAAACAGCATGGAATTATTCAGCAGTAATCCCAAGTGGCGTCCTCAGTCAGCACCGCGTCAGATCGCAGAGGCTCCAAAACAGAACAGACTTCAGTAGAATAAACACTTCAACACTGGATCGTGGATGGCTGGCGACGTGTCGTATGATCAGACGAAATCACGCTTCTGCTTTTGTTCCAATGATGCACGTTGCTGCGTCATCAGGAGGCCCTGAGCGGCATATAATCGGGACTGTATCCAAAAATCAATGCAAATCCGGGCGTGAAAGTATGATGCTCTGTGCGCGCATTTTGGTAACTGGAGTTGGACCACTAGTACAAGTCCACACTTCGGATGAAGGCCGTAGTACCTATCAATTTCAAGTAAGGCGTTGGACATCAACTTCGTGTTTTGTGAACCAGTTCTGAGCACGTCTGTTTCAGTGCACTGTACAGTTGTCTTTGTAGTCAGGTTTATGGATATAATCCCTCTCCATGCAGAAAATTCGTATAAGGAATGACGTGGTCTTCCAGCCAGATGTGCTCAGAACTGGTTCACAAAACACGAAGTTGATGTCCAACGCCTCATTTGGCCAGGGGATTTATCTGACCTTAACATCATTGAGAAAATTTGGGATATTTTGGATTAGTTGTCAAAAAGAACGTTGCACGTCCATAGTCACAAGCCGAAATGATAGTCAGATTGACAGGCGAATGTAAAAAATCACTGTAAGTGCTATCCAACACCATGTTGACAAGCATGCCCCGCATGATCCCAAGCTGCGATCAAGGGAGACAGTAAAGTAACCAAGTATTAAAATTTGATTTCGTAATACTTTGCTCCAGTTATTTATTCTAAGAAAATTATTACATCAGGTGATTAATTTTCGTTTTATTGTCAGTTTGGGGGCTGCTTTTATGAATGATTTTATAACTGGTTTATGTGCGTGTTTCTCTTTCCGTCTTCTTAAAAATGTCCACCTTGTCAGGATGGAGCTCCCAAAAATGATCTTCCATTTTTTACTGGTTTCATCGCGTCGTTACCAAATTTTTTTATAGAGAAGACAACATGAGCCTCGTTTCGCTTGCTAACGAAGGAGTGAAACTAAATTTCATATATTCCAATGAAAATAGTCTGAAATTCTTTTAAAAATCTTAAGCTGCCGTAGCTGGTACTGAGGCTATAACAAAATACACTCATGTCCATAAATTAAGGATAATTCGGAGTCACGCGGAAATCGAACTCTAAAATAAATATATCACCTGTAAAATCACTCCACACATCTTCAAGAATCATATGCAAATTTCAGAAAGTAACCAGATGACACCGATGGTACGTCACAATGACGAGAGTGTAAGAGAGTGATATATAAGGAATACAGGCAAAGAAGTAAAATTGTTCGCTGGCGCTTTATAAGCATTTCAGTGCAATAACCGTATAGTTATAACACAAAGGACGCATTTGGATGATTTTTTACGTGGTAGAATTATCGACCGTCTGGAATGTGGGCGTACCCAACTGGAAGTATCAGACGAACTTGGAATTGCCCAGAGTGTCATCTCCAGGCTTTGGCAACGATTCCAAGATGATGGAAATGTGAGTAGACGTTACAGCACAGGTAGCCCCAGAGTTACAACGCCGAATGAGGACCGGTATTTGGCAGTTACTGCCAAAAGAAACGGGCGGAAGACAGCTTCAGATCTGTCTCGTCGGCTCTCTTCAGCCACTGGTAAGACAATTTCAAGGCAGACCGTGTACAGACGCTTAGGGCAGATTGGTCTATATGCTCGTAGACCTGTCAGATGCGTTCCACTTACTGCAACTCACTGTAGCCTTCGGTTACCCTGGAATAGAGAGCATGCATTGTGGACACCGCAACAGTGGGCTTGTGTGATGTTTTCCGACGAGTCCAGGTTTAGCTTTCAGTCTGATTCTTGCCGGACTTCATATGGAGAGCTCCAGGTACCCGTTACCACCAAGAAAACATCATTGAACGACAGCGTTACCGTGGTCCAGGAGTCCTCGTTTGAGGTGGAATTATTCTCGATTCTAGAACTGACCTGCATATTCAAATTGGAACCATGGCAAGCCAAATCTATAGGGACGTCATTCTGGAACAACATGTACTTTTGTTTCGTTGCGCCATGGGCGCACAATTTGTATTTATGGATGACAACGCCCGTCCTCACCGTGCAAACATAGTAAGTGAATGCCTTCAATCGGAGGATATCACCCGTATGGACTGGCCAGCATTCTCAACGGACTTGAATCCAGTAGAGCACGTGTGGGACATGCTTGGCCGACGAGTTGCAGCCCGTCAACCTCCTCCTACATGTCTACCGGAACTTCGGAGAGCATTGATTTTTGAGTGGTGTAATATCCTCCAAGATCAGATCGATAATTTGATACTCAGCATGCCTAGGCGTTTGTACGGACTGTATTGCATCGTCTGGGAGACATTACAATGTATTAACAATCATACCAACCATGTATATTGGGTTTTTGTAAAGAGTTTTTTTTTTTTTTTTTTTTTTTTTTTTTTTTGTAATTTGCTCCAGGGAGAAAAAAATCGCTAATTTTTTTAATAATATCAAACATATAGCATCTTTTTTTGCTCTTTACCTTTTGTTTAATAAATAAGCTTTAAGTTTACAAATAAGTCAAATTTGTTTTGCTTCTATCTCTTCCTTTGCCTGATTTTCCATTATCCTTAATTTATGGACATGAATATAATTCAAATTGCATTTAGTAAGCAAAAAGTGATGTCACACTTAATTTATTTTGAAATCCGAAGATAAACCTTCAGTTCGAAATAATCAAATAAAAAATAACTTAATTAAAGCATTTCCTTATTTTGCAAGTTAAGCCGAAAATTTAATAAATCATGTATTTCAAAATTTAGAATGGAATAAAAATTTGCTTAAAAGAAATCCCTAATTGCACTTCAAACTCGCTTTTCATTCTCATAGAGGCAGGGCGAAATTAGAAACTATCATTATGAATTATAACCTCGAATAAACTATTTCAATACAAATATAATAAAATTATCTCAAAGCATCGTTATAAATGAAAAACACATCATTATAAATTATAACCTCGACTAAACTAGTTTAATATGAATATAATAATCCGAATAAACTATCTTAAAGCGAGAGGTTTTAATTTAATAATATCGTTGCAGTTGATTTCGCTTTGGTTATTTACATTTTTTAACAAACATAAAATATAATTAATGAGTCCTTCTTCTTCTTTTTTATACATATACTAAAATTTGCATTTAATAACCCTGTTAGGGTTTGTCAATTAATGAGCAATTTAATATAATATTCTTAATTTAATGAATTAATTTTTAGCTTGCTAAATTTTTCATTCGGTAAGACTAAGAGATTTTTGCATTTCTCAGGGCACCAAGCACACTGATGAAAATAACATGAGAAATGTGAAAGCTATTTTCGGACTTTTTTCAACTTTTTATTGTCCTTTACGCTTGAGTTTCAAAGTTCAATTAGTTTTTTATTCGCGCTGTTAAATGGAATATAAATTTAAAATTTAGACTAGATTTTTCAAATTATTACTTTCTCTCTGTTTTTTTCTTTTCTTTCTTTCTTCCCCCCCCTCCCCTGTCTATACGCAGTGAACTGAAAAAGTGAAACTCAAGCCTTAAAGACCATAAAAATACAAAAAGAGGTTTTACTTTTGTCGTGAGATCAAGAAGCTGCTAAGAACAAGAATTAAATCTTTTGATTCAAAATTGCATCACCGATAGCAACCGTACATTAACTTGAAAAAATGAATGATATTTTAAAGCTGCCAAAATAAATTACGTTAGAGATTCCAAAAAATCATTCGGATAAGTATTTTTTGTTCTATCGGATGTTAGAAAGATTAAAATTCTGCAGTATTTATTTTGATTATTAAATAAGGATGAGCTAGCACAGTGCTAAATTTAAAAAGAAAAAAAAATGTAAAAGGAATTTCGAGAAAATTTCTGTAGAATATGATACTTTAATCAAAAGTACATATGTATGAAAAATTTGAAGGAAATCGGTTTAATAGAACGACTTAAAATTAATTTCAAAATTTGATTCAAGTAAACAAACAGAAAACAAGCTAGTTAAAAGTCTAATAATACGTAAAATGTTACATTAAGATTACAAAGTTAAACACAGCATAAAGGTGAATGATAGTCTCTTTTACGGACTTCGCCAGTTTTTTTTTTTTTTTTTTTTTAAGATGGCCCTCGAAAGCATAATGAAAGGCAAAATGTGTGTTTATTTTTTTATAATTTTATGATTCTAGTCTAACTTATTTTCTGTACACCGGAGTGATGTCATACTTTTTCTTTCACGTTTTTCTCATAAACTATGGACCGTAGAGGTATAGTTTTGTGGTTTTTTTCTTGTGTACTTCGATGAAGAATCTTGCTATGCAGAATTTGTTAGATCTTGATGGAACATAATTTATATGGATATTAACATTACCTCTTTCTTTTTCAGCTATCGAAAAAGTGAATGAACTATATACAAACCGTGAAAAAATGAAACGTCGTAAAAAGAAAAAAACAGATGAAGAAGAAGAGATTGTGTCATTAGGTAGTAGTTACCTATTTGAAGACGAGAAGCTGACCATTGTGCAAAGAGTTAAGAAATTACTCGGACTATTAAAAGATGAAGGTTCAGATTCAGAAGAGGATTCTTTGAAAGCAAGATCAGACAAAAGCGAAGATGTCGTGAAACGTAGTACATCAATCGACGAGTTCTCTTTACCGGACGTGAAAATTTGTGACACAAGTCAAATTCGACAATTGTCAGAAGAATCCAAAGGATCTTCTGGTTCTCCTAAACTTGGTGATTCCCATTCTAAACTATCTCTGTTGCAAGATTCTCCAGGAAGGACTCACGACACTCTATCGAAACTGTCACTACTGCAGGATTCGCCTCCCAACTATGGAGTCTCTCTCCTAGAAGACACTCCGCCTCATCTTAAAAAATCTCCACTGGGAAGCAATGAGAAACGACATCTTGGAAAACTTACATCGGAATCGCAAGAATCTCATGATTCTGATCCCTCGGCGAAAAAACAAGATTCGCTGGATTCTGAGAAGGGCCAACAAATTATGAGACAAAAATCTGATTCGCAAGATTCAGACAATGAGAAAGTGAAAAAAGCCAAAACAAATTCTCAAGGAAATGAAAACATTCGATATAAAAAACAAAAATCTGATTCTCAAGAATCAAATGAATCAGATAATGCTCCAAAAGCGAAGAACAAGAAAACTTTCGAGCCTCAAGAATCAAAGTTAACCCGCAGAGAATCTATAAGTGGTGGGCAAACAGCAAAAGAAATGGCCCACAGATGGGGTAAATCTCCGATGGTTAGAACGAAAAATACATCAAAAACTACAAAATCATTAGATATCACGCCAGATTCTAATTCCTAACATAATGCAATTCTGTAGAAGACAGTTTATTTCCTACTGAGCATAAGTAATTCCTGAAACAAAAAGTAACGCACCATCTCTCTTGTTATTTACTTCTTTCGAATTCAGATATTCAGTCACTATTCCGATATTTTAAATAGATAAACTTTAGAATTTGGGGGAAGGGGTCTTAACTATAAATAAAAACTAAATAAAGATAGGAAGATGCAATTTTCTTGTTCGACAGCGCAGTTTTTTTAAGTTGAAGAAATTTAAAAATAAGCTTCTTTGCAATCTCAGCTGCTACACATTCTAACTAATTAGAACTCTTAGAAATATTATTTTATCTGTAAATAAAATTTATAAAATAAAGCATATTTCTTCTGCTTTCAAATGCGAATGGAATAATTACAATTCCCATTAGAAGATGAAATTTTTTGTTGAATTATTGAACTTATCAAAGTGAAGGAATGGTAAATACCTGATACACAGTTTTCAAGAAAGGCGACCACAGTCTTTAATTACTTAAATACTAATAATAAAAATATATCTCCAGCTACAAAGTTTTTAAAATAAAATAGAAAATTCCATAAAAACGGTTTCAATATTGTGAGTGAGGGGCTTCTGGAGGAAGGAATATATAAGAAATATACAAGGCGTTTAGCAAAAGACGAGGAAAACTTGAGAAGGTAGTAGAACACACCAAAACAATTTCTTTTTTGTAACAGAATGCATAATCGGAAATGAAATGTAAAAGCATTAGAGGGCACTTGCTTGTCAACACGTCGCAATCCTAAATGCGCCGAAGCTTCAGCTTCTGAAGAGATGAATAAGTATAGTTCGACGGTCTCATCCGCGACTATGAGCGCAAACACGCATGCGCCATTCGGACCGAATTATTATCAAAATAGGGTGGAGCGATGGGGACTTTCTTTCCAAAGATGAGAAGACCCCGCCCCTTTTGGACGAGTCTGTGTGTCTTGGCAGAATGCCAACCAGGGTTGCGCTTGAGACGGTAAAACTATACCCAATTGGCCAGAAAACGGGTATATATTTTCCGCCTCGAATGCCATATTTTCTTCATACTGCAGGATATTTTGCTAGATTTGCTGAAGGATGATTCAGCAGAGTATGTGTTCCACCATGACAGAATACCAGAGCATTTCTGACAAGAACGCATGGAATTATTTGGAAGTTTCCTTACTGGGTTGCTGGATTGGGCAAGGAGTCAACATTTAGGATCTCACAATCGCCCGCTTTGCCGTGTTTGGATTTCTTTGTTAGAAGGTTCTTAAGAACTTCATTTATGAAACTTCTCTTGAATCCGAAGAGGAACTCATCCCAGAATTGCGTCAGTACTGCAGCTGCATGCGATATATCTGGTATGTTTGAAAAAGTCAACCATTCCCTTCCTTGACGTAGGCTCACCAGCGACCTAACGGTAAAATCGTTGGACATTGGGAGTTCGACTTGAGTTCAAATCCGAGCGAACGGGCTGGCTGCATGATTTTACTCACATGTAATGTGATTATGAGCAGTTTCCCTCAGAAAGTCCTCTACGAAGGCATACTTAACCTGAGGCAAATAGTCTCGCGTTTTTTGCTTTAATCAAACAAACTATATCTTATGCGCAAAGGCGTAGCTAGGGTTTTCAGCGCCCGGGAACAACTGAAGATTTTGCGCCCCTGTCTCTGTGCCACGAACGGAAAACATTTCATTCTAAAATTTCGTAACATCAATTTGGCGCCCCCTGAATGCTGCGCCCGGGGACAAATGTCCCCCCTTGCCCCACCCTAGCTACGCCACTGCTTATGCGGATGTTACGTCTTACTCTTTTAAAAAATACTGCAGTTATTCTGGAATTAAATTCTGTATCATTCTTGTGTTTAACTTGTAACCCCCATGGCTTGTGATTTGACCCCCTTGGCTTCACAATCAAGCACCTTTACGTTTTATTTTCGCCTATGCATTCTATGATCTTCCCCCCAACCCCTCCAAAAAAACTTTTCTCCCCATTCTCCTAAAGTTAGCCCGTCTTTCTTGAAACATACTATATCTGTACATATACATATAGAATACATATATTCGATACCATTTTATTGTATGCCCTTGCGGGATTACCGAGAAAGCTTCCCCCTATTAATTTTATTTCCTTTCAAGACCTTATTATGAAGGAAAATTCATCTTATGTTGGAATCGGAAATGTAGCTGGATTTTTGTACGCTTTCCAGTTGCCCCCTGATAAGGACCACAAAAACATATCAAAATCCCTTTGTTCCTTTGTTTTTCGTCACTCTTTATTTGAATTTTTTAGAATATTTTGTTGCCAAGTAAAAGTTTCTTTTTTAGTTGCTCTCCATGAAACGGTGAATTTAATTTAGCAACTTGTAGAGTTCACTAGATTCACTTTTGTGTGGAAACTGGAATAGTAGTAGCTGCACATGAGAAGGCTTGAAAGCAGGGCTGTGGAGTCGGTAGGGAAAATGAAAGACTCCGACTCTGACTCCTGGAATTTTTTACTCCGACTCCCTCATAATATGTTATGTAAACATATAAACATGGGTTACAACTTATTTTATCAATATAAAAGAAGTAATAGATGCTACAGAAAAAAATTGATGGCATAGCAAATTATTTATATTAATTAGCATTTATTATGAAATGGAAAAGCTGGCATTAGTTATTTCTAAGAAACAGTATAGCTTCGGCAAGATCTTTGTTGGAGGGCCATAGATCCAATTTGATAAACTTCAGAGCTTAGAAGTGTCTTTCCACACTAACTTGAGTGGCAGGAACAGCTGTTACTGTTAGGGTTACTTCTTTTAACTTTTCAGGATAGATTTTTATAAGTTCTAAAAGAGGTGTCTTGCAAGCGCAATCATATTTCTCTATTTCTTCAAATGTCGTGTAGAAATCTCGTTTGTATTATTTTCATTTTTATATCTAAAGGCTCTAGGTTCTTTATTTTTATTCGCTTTGCCTTAGCCTTTTCAATATTGTCCAAAAATATTTCTCAAAATCTAATTCATCACCGGAAGAGGATGATAGAACCTCAATTGCAATATCTGCTTTTTGACTGTCCTGATTCGAATTCTCCAATTGTTCTGAGAATAATTTCATTCTTAATGAAAGTTCATAAATTCAGCTTTCTTTGCGGTTTTAATTTGTTCAACATGTAAGAAAATTCGGTGTTTTGGATCTACATATATTGAACTCAGCAAGATCTCATCGTCTAGCAAACTAGTTTCTCTTTTCTTAATTCAAGAAATGATTCCTTCTGGAATAAACGCTCCATTTCAGAAAGAACAAACATCACTTTCTTCCATTTTCGCCTCCTGTCAATTCTTCAGATTGCAGCTCTTTTGTGGCTTATACGGTGTACAAAGAAGCGTTTCCAATTCTGCAAGATCATTCCACAGTCTTTCTGCTACTGAAACATTAGGGTTATCTACATCTTCCAAAAAAATTCTTAATTCTAACAACCTCTTTATCATCCAATATGTGCTTCCTTATCGCATTGCTTGATCAATAATTGCGCCTTTCCCTGCTCGTTTCCTAAAAATGGCATCAATTTTTTAGAGTTCTTGCTGCTTACCTAAATTTACCAGTGAAATTTGTAACTAAATGAATCAGTTAATCACTAATGGCAAATATCACATCCATCCTCCACCCTTATATTTATTTATTAATATGTCAATAAAATAGAAAATTACTATTTATTAATGTATATAGTCCATAAATAAAAATAATAACTCAGCTTGTCATTAATTTTTTTTTTCAATTCATTTTAATTTCATTTCAAATTCAAACTGTCCAGCAAGAACTGGAGTCGGAGTCGACCTGTTTTTAGCGACTCCAGCTCCGAATCCTTTTACCCCAAAATCTGCCCGACCCCGATTCCACAGCCCTGTGTACAACAGCACTGCAAATGGCGAAAAATTATTATAAAATAAATAAAAATAATAAACATATTAAAAAATGAAATAAAGAGAACTCGGTCATCTAAAGGGAAAATAAAATTCCGAAACGCAGAAATTGTCTCTTGCCCGAAAAAGTTAAAATAAATAAATAAATAAATAAATGGTGGTCAAGATACAGATAGCCACATCAAAGTTGCCTGAAATATTTTCTCTGCTATACATGATGAACGCACTCAAGATGTTTTACATTTTCATTGCCGTAACTGCAGCTGCACAAAGCACTTGAATCAAGTCCAAAAGATCTTCGAATTTGTTCTGTTGTTAAAATCATCAATTGCAGTTAAAGTTGCTTTGAATTTGATAAAAAATAATTTTCACGAAGCTTATTCTGTGAAAAAGAGTTTTTTTATGGAGGCCGGAAAACTTTGGTTCTGTTGGAAAGAAATTTCTGTTTTGTCAAATTTAGATATCATCATGAAGAGAGATATATAAAATATAGAATATAGGTCTTCTTAATAATAAAGGAATTTCAACCACAAGTTTTCTGAAAAAACACTAATTGTTCTGTAATAATGGTTTAGCGAAAAGAAGAGAATTAATCCTAAGAATTCAAAAAATTTGTCTGAATTGGAAATTGAATTTTATTAAAAAAACACTTAGAATTCTAAGAAACAACAAAGTAAACATTAAATAACAAAAATACAAAACAAAAAAAAGTTTTTTGAAAACCATCTTAGTAAGAAAACTGATGAAAGAGAATGAAGATGATAAAAGAAGGAAAACAGCATAAGTATACTGCTGCTTTAAAAATTTTTGTAAATTTTGCTTTGATTTTGGAAAGAAAGTCTTTCAAAGAAAAAGTAAAAAAGAAAATAATGCTTAATAATAAAGCTAAAACAAAAAACAATTAAAAAATAAAAAAAAGAAGTAACTTAGTAAGGAACAGGATTGTATTATGGTAGACTGAGAGCTCAAAAAAAGGGGTTAGTAGGAATGAGTGTAACAGCAGGACTGGTAGACTGAGAGCTCAACAAAAGCGCAAAAAATCTTATCAATCCTTTTTGGATGACCGTTAAAATCTTAATTTTTTAATTCACTATTTATCTCTTTTTCTCTATATATATGCATATGTGCACGTATGTGTATAAACTTATATCTACTTTTTAGAATAAAAATCCTAATTATTACAGTATTCATCATATTTAATGAGTTAACTAAAAAATTCATTATAATGAAAATGCAAGGAGGACTAAGTTTTTTTTATTTTTTTATTTAATTATTACTTATCCAAGACTCATGAGGACAAAATACAGGAATCTTCTAGTGACTGATAGCATTTCCTTATTAGGTAAAGCAAATTGTAGTTATCTTAAAAATGTTGATTCATATCTTTGCATATTCTTCACACAAAACTATGAAACTTCTTTACACTAACTGACACATAGTGAATATTTTACTGATTGGAATTTTCCTCCACTGAAGCTACATAAATGTTAAATTTTTATTTTTAAAAATTCCTTCTACCAACAATCTTACAATTGCATAAAATTCTCTATCATTTTCTAAAATACCTTACAAGTGGGCATCAATACAAATCTCCTTTTCCTTGATATGAGAAATTTTTTGAAACTACAGTAGAATGCTTGGTTTAGCACCTTCCTTTATTTTCTTTAAAAACAATGCACTGATAAATTCTTTTACCTAGCTCTTATTCTACATAGGGAAGTAGCTCCAAATAATTATTTTAAGAAATTATCATTAAGGAATTTTTTCTATCAAGTAACTCCAGAGAAGAGGCATTTCATCATCCATATCTCTAGAAAAAAATTTTTCAAAAATTACTTTAAAATTTGATTTAATTTATGGAATTATTTTGAGGATGGCCACGGACCGAACCTGACCTGAATTTCCGAGGAATTATACAAGAAGGGAATTTTCAGTGGCGGCACAGACCCCACAGTCCTGCCTCTTTAACATAGCCTCGGCGAGGTTAAAAAGATTCAGGAAGAAGCTATGGCCTTTTACACAAACTTTCTTGCAGCTGTGATTCATTTTACACCTTCCACTAGTGATGAATTCTTACAGGGAAAGAATATATTTAAGAGAACTTATCCACTGCCGCTACCTGTTCTTAATGACATAAAAGAAATACGGTTCCTATTATGACAAATAATATAAATAAACCACATACTATGTAGCCTGTTCTTTGCTGCCAGGTCTTCTATCTTTCACTCAAAATCAAGGGGTTTAAAGAACAAGAAATCTTCACTGGAACATCATTTTTACACCTCAATAGTATTCAGAGATTTCAACAGCTTCATGTCTTGCTATGCCTTCATCATCAATGCAAAATATGAATGAAGCTAGAAATTATGATCTTCCAGTAAACAAAGGAAAGGAAAAGTTCCTCATTGACAGAGAAATACTTAGAATTAAATTAAATTACTGTATTTCGTTCTGCAAGAGTTGGAACGAAAATACTTGTAATTTTCAAAAGATAAGCACTACCGAAATTTGTAATTCACGAAAAGTTCAGAGAACTTGGACGACCGGATGCTTTGAATATTTTTATGGGAAGAGAATTTAGTTTCAGAGATTTCAAAAATCTCCATCCTTGCATGCCTTCAAATAATGCAATATAAACAGATAATATTACTGAATGACTTTAAAAAGGAAAAATTATCATGACAAAAAAATAAAAAAAAAATTCTATTTTAGCCCCCTATAATGCTAGACAGTATAATTTGTTACGCAAGAGAAACATGGAAAGATAATGGACAACAATAAAATATTTGCGGGGGATAATTGATTTCAAAAGGGTTTTCCCAAAATTTCTTGGAGATATTTGTAATTATTTTATCAGGGGTTCATGAAAAATTGGTTAATTTTGGGCAAACTAAGGATTAAAAAAGCAACAAAAATAATTGTTTCTTAAAAATAAGGTTCTGAAACAAACTTCTATGCCTTATATTTAACTGTAAAAAAAAAAAATAAAAAAATACAAAATCGATTTTCAAAAAAAGAAGAAAATAAATTAAAGAAAGATTAATGAAACAATTTATTTTACTTCCACTAGAAAAATGTAATGTGAATTAAACTTTTTTCTTTTATTCTATATGCTTCTATTGCTAATATTTAGAATTCAGAACCAAAAAAATTTGGTTAGAAGAAAGAGATAATTGCGCAACAGAAATTATAGTAAATGTTATACTGTTTTCTAAAAAAACTAACAGGTAATGCTTCTGCTTAAAGCACTTAGAATTTCTATGTTTTTCAAAAAATAAAATGACTATTTGAAATCCATTTTTATTTCTTTGGAGAAAATAATCAGTCATACAGGATTAAAGAACTTTAATATGGTTTCAAATAATAAATATTCACTTTACAAAAATCGCTATATAAAGAATAATTTTTCTTTTTACTTCCATAGAAACACTTGACTTTTGAACATTCAAACTATTTAATGCATACATGCTACATAATTACACACAAAAGATAAAAGCCAAACAATTAAGTGAAAACAATCTTATAAGCAAAGGTGCTAAAATATTATAGATCATTGAGCATGAGGTTAAAAAAAAAGTCATAATAAATCACACAAAACTTATATACATAATATGACAATGATAATATACATTGTTCCGAAACAAGTTTCTTACTCCAAATGAACAAAATACACAAGCTTTTTTTTAGCAATGTTATTCAAGCTCTCTACAGAATTATAACGAAATTGTATATAAGAAAAAAATTAATTGCATACATTTTCATTGCATATGGAGATGAAGCTTCACAGAAACAATTTTCTATTAAAAATAAAAGCAAACTATCATGAAAACACATTTAATCATCAAATGTTAATGTCTAACAATATTTACAATGCTTTAAAGGGCAATAGTTTTTTTTTTTTTTTTTTTTTTTTAAATTTGATTCTTTTTTTTAAATCTGATTATTCTTTTATAAATCTGAAATTATTCAATAAAATCCTAATTAATGAAAACCACAGTATTTTTTTAACTTAGCCTTTCCATGAAAAAAGCTTGCTAAATGAAAAATATAATTTAAAAGAGTACTGCTTAAAATAAAATGTTTAAATAAAAAATTATGACTCAAGAAGCATTTCATATATTAAAAATAAATACACTTCTTAAACTAAAGGATTTTTTAAAGTGAAATACTGAAAAATTTTTCCCTCAATTGCCTTTCTTTTTAATTATATTCAATGATTAACCTTCCATTATAACATTATAATGTAATCTAGTTTAAACTGAAACGAAAGGGGGAAAAAAAAGTATGTATTTTTTAGGATTGCCTGAATCATTTTGAAAAAAAAAAAGGAATCATGGTAATTAATAGTTAAAAAATATGGTAATTAATAGTTATGTGACAATTATATGATAAGTAATAGTTAAAAAAATTCAGTGTTTTATTATAGAATTTTATAGTTATCATTACGCTCTTATTTTTTATGCCTATGAAATATAAATGCATGTAGGTAGCAGAATCACATAGAAATTTTATAGCAGAAATATATAATACATGCCATGAACGTCATCTTTTATTAATAGTATAAATGTTAACATTAGTTGCAAAATATTAAAATGAAGCAGCTATAGCTTTTTTAATTATACCTTTTTCTACACTAATAAGCAAATGCACTTTTATAATACGGAAAAATAAATGAAAGATTCAAGGTTTATAAATAGCTTTGTTTCTGATCTCATACATGATTATGGGCTGTGATATAATATGAGTGAAATAAATGTTACAAACAGAAAAGTGAACATAATATGTTGCCACCAAATTCAAAGACACTGTTTTATCATTTTTTAAAGCCTTTCAAATGACTATTTATTGACTCCTATCAGATTTATACATAGAAATTAAAAAGGCAAATAATTCTTAATTGTATTTAATTTAAAACTTCACAATATAAAAATTGAAGTACATGGTTTTAGAAAAAGGATATGGCTTATACACAATACATTACAAAGTCCGTAATCCGGACTCGTCGGGACTTCGACGAGTCCGGATTACGGACTTTCCAGATTAGGGGTTTTTCTGGATAACAGATCATCCATTTTAATCTGGTAATATGGCATGCAGAAATTATACAATTAAAAATATGAAACCTTAATTTATGAAATAAAGAGCAATTATGATCTAAAGGGTATCAAAATTTACAACAACAACAAAAAAACTTAATATTTATTTGTTTACTTTACTAAACATTTCTATCAATGTAAGTTGTTTAAGTTGCTTCGTTTTTTGTGCTAATACTTTCTCTTTTATTCTATAAACAGACATAATTTCTTGTTCAGTTACAAAGTTCCACTGTTCAAGTCCTGTAACTGTGTCGAAAATACCGACTAACTTGTCAATCGAAATTTTTCATTTTCAATAACGTTCTCTGTTACTTTCTTCACTATCAGAAGCGCGCATAGGTAAACGCTTTACTGGCTTTACGAGCATGCGTAGCGGATGTGTGCATCAAAAGTGCATACGTAAACACTACGCGCATGCATAGTGTTTCTGGCTTTGAGGTCCGGATTATAGATCTTTCTGGATAATGGACGTCCAGATTAGAGACTTTGTACTGTAAATACATTTTCCCCCCCTCACACATTAATTAACTGGAAATAGCCCATTTACGTCATAAAAGTACAAAATGTTAAGAGACAAATTGTTGTAGCAGGAAGAACAGCACTGAATTCTAAGTTAATCATACAGCAAACTAGTAGATAAAAGATTTTTAAGTATTGATATATCATGCTGCTTGCATATTTAAAAATACTTATAAAACATAAATAAGAATTTTCTTATGGAAAAAAAAGGGTACAAAATGGAGTATAATAGCAAAGATCTGAAAAATCAAATGTTCTCTAATTTGAAATCAAGTGGTTAACTTTTAGATACTTTTAAAGATTATTAAAAAAATTAACAAACAATTTTAAAAAGATATAAAAAATATACTATTGGCAAGGGTACATATAAGCTCTTACTTAAGAAATTTAAATTCTAATTAGATAATTTCTGTTTGAATCATATGATTAATTTCCAGTGCTGTATTTTGATAAAAAGGTATTCTGTGGGGAAAAAAATCATGAATAAACTCCAACAACAACAACAAAAAACAAAAACAACAACAAAAAACAAACAAACAAAAAACTAGAATTTAATTTTGGTTTACAATCATTCAATATGTTACAATATTGCATTGAAGTACCTGCATTACTTTGTAAAGATGTAAGAATAAATATCAAAACTACATCACAAAAACAAAGTTCTTATGACTCTAAAGGCAGGAACTTCATCTGTATTCACATAAATGACCACATCCAACTGGACACTGACGATTTTTTTTAAACCATTCTTGTAAGTGCAATAAATGTCCTCCATGAGCACAACCTTGGCACCAAACAAAAACTCCACGAACAATTTGATGGCTAAAATTAATAACATTATTGAGAAAATTTGAGTATATACCAATAAAATAAACACATTAAGAAATTTTACAGTTTTCATATATAGTTATATTTTATTCATTTATTAAATATTAACCAATATTCCATTTCTACTAATTGTAAAAACAATAGCAGTGTAATAAACAAAAGGAATGTTTTTCCTATTAAGTTATACTTTGTTCTTACATAGCACTGAATTATATTTTGTTACAGACTCTTATTTCACAAAAACAATTATAAACATTATTAATATACTATTATAACACATGCATAGTACAAAATCCTAAATCTGAATTCTCTATTATCCAGATCTCCCACAAAACTTTTATTGAGATATTTCCTTTTTCTCACACAATGTAGGAGTGCAGACTATAATAACCCCCCTCCCAAAAAAAGCAAGTTTTGTATAAGTTGATTTTTTGATTGAAATTTTTTTTTTGGTTAAGAAACATCAGTATCCTCAACAGTATTGAAACATCCTGCATGTTGTTTTATCTTCAAACACCTTCCAACCAGCAAACCCTATTTTTAATCCCTTGAATGGTTGTGGGATGGCAACATTTTCTCCTACCTAGCCCTATAAGCAGTAAATGAATCCTGAAGAGAGAAAACACATATCTGTTTGGAGTGGATGGTTATACATATTAGTTTTCATTTGTTGGAGAGGCTGGAGAGAAAGAAGAAAAAAAATTAATTTAGATAAACTTGCAACTAGCACTGTGAATAGCACTTTTACTTAATTTTCTGACTTGATCCAGCTTGTTATTTTATTGTCCGTTATTCTTATAGTTATCTTATCAAAATTAAGTCTTAGTAAAGGATAAAATCTCTATTTTACTCTTTTATAAAAACAATTCTGATATCATTCAGCCACTGGATATTGGAATTTCACATGTTGAAATGCGGAATTATTTTAAAAATGATACAGCAGCAAGACCAAGCAAAAATTCTTCAACTATTTAATATGAAATCTGCTGTGTGGAGTATTGCAAGGTCATGAATGGGTGTCTCCAGATATTTTAAAAATACTTAACATAATTCATAGTCAGCTACTATATTTTATGGCAATGATGATGAAAGCCACGAATCTGAAGTTTTCAACAGATCAAAACTAAAGCAAAATTGTCCAAATAATAGGATATTTGAAAAAAAAAAAAAATGTTATATGAAGATGAAGTAATTAAGTCTTTCATTGTAATCAAAATACTAAAATCCTCAATCAATAAATGACCAATGAAATTTGTAGTATGGTTTTAAAGACAGAAAATATTAACATACCAATTTGATGGTAAGCTGATGGCTTAATCCTTCACTATATGTGCAACAATTTTAGCATATATAATTACTTTGTTTATAAACAATATTCTTTAAACTATCTTCAAAGAATTTAAAATTGCAACAATGTCAAGAACATTTATACAATTAAGCAAGCAATAATCATTCTTTTCTAGACAGAATGCAAATATCACAGTTAGATATAATGGACTGAAAAAAAACCAGTTTTAATAGCTTATTTGTTAATTCCACTTTTTAAGTGTCATTTTGACTTTCATGACTTTTCAAATAACATTGTTAACCTTTTCCTGGGGGCTGGGATATATATGTCCCCCTCAACCATTACATTACATAAGAAATTTAGTTTATTAAGAAGATTTAAAATTTGCTACTTAATATGGAAAAGGAAATGGCATACCCTGTTTTTTTTTTTTTTTTTTTTTTTTTTTTTTTTCCATCCTTGTTGACTCGATTGAATGGCTTCAGTACATAAAAAATTAGTCTCTATAGCCATGTGAAAAGGTTAATTAAAAAAAGATCAGAAAAGATTTAAAATTACATAATTTTATTTATTTTGAAGCTGAAATTAAATTTTGAAAATATGATTAAATGCTTAAGAAGTTTGGTCAGAGAACTTTTGTGCCACGTTATATGTATATATATATATATCTTTATATTATTTGGATTATGAAAATGCTGGTCAAATGATAAAAAATTAACAATATAATTTAGTTAGATAATTAATCATACTTTTATTTAAATAATTCAAATTTAATAAAGTTACAAAACATTTTTTTAAATTATCACAAACAAACTTTATTAATATAATCTGTTAATTTCAAAGAATTATATTCACATTATTTATAACTATTTGCTACTTTTAAGGAGTAGACTTCAAGTTTTGTCAACTCAGAGAATTGCTAAAACTACAAGAACTGTAAATTTTTTTCAAAACCCATAAAGCTATAAGTAGAAGGGGGATTCCTGTTGTCATCATAAAAATAAACATTAAAAAAGTACAGCAAATATATTAATGTTCTGTGCACTTTATGTGGGAAAAGAAGGAAAATCATTACTTCACTATAAAGTTACATAAACACAGATATACTTCATATGATTTCATGTAAAATTAACAACAGAAATTTTAAAAATATATATGTAATTAATTAATTAAATTGTTAGCTTCGTGGTCAAAGAGGTGATAAAAAATTCTTTTGAATTTTGATGTTTACTTGTGGAACTCCTAAAAGAATTGCTTGGAACTTCAAAGCTCAGTTTGAATATTTAGAGATCAAAGAAAATAAATTTTACTAACAAAAATCTTAAAACACTAAAATAAAAATTAAACAATAATTTTCACTGTTATCTTACCATATGCTGCACACACACATTTGGCTGCAGTTGTCACAAAACCAACCAACAGAATTCATAAACTTATCACATTTTGCACATAAAGTATGGACAACTGTTGACTGCTGATTTAAAGAATTTATGGCTGGAAGACTGCTCAAGGCTATAACTTCATTGGAAATATTCCATAGTCGGTAACGACTTAAAAGTTCTACGAGAAAAAATAAAAATTTACTAAATTACTTCTATGAGAAAAAATAAAATTTTAATTAATTACTTCAAAAATGCAATTAGAAATGGTATCTTATTTCACATTTTATATTAACTATAAAATTAAATTTGAATAATATTTTCTCTCCATGGAGATAAATTTCATCCATTTTGCTATTGATTATAAAAGCTATACATTTTTTGTAATATTCGTTCATTAAAAATTCAAAAGCAATTGAAATCAGAGCAATGGCCATGAATGCAACTGCCAGTGCCAAATATTCATCTACATGGCATAATTGTATAATTCTACTGGTGTTTGTGTTCATGTTGATCAATTATTTCTGTTATCATTTACATACTATTAATTATTATTCACCTAAATTGTTGGAATATTCACAGTAAATCAAACAGCTATTTAATTTTAAACAAAGGAAAACAAAGTTTCAGTTTCTCATGGATCAAGATAAATAAATACATCAAGCAATAATAAAAAAATTCTGATAACAATTTGAATGCATACTCAAGGTGTGAAAAGGAGATTACAGGCTTCTTTAAAGACTGATTCTAAACAATTAAAAAGGTCTTTGAAAAAGGATAAAGAATTAACAAAAATAGTTTTTTTGATACTATGAATTTGAAAATTCTATACATATAATATTTTATACAGTACTTAGAACTTCAGATACAAAACAGGTGAATCATTAAAATACTCATGATATTTTAATAGGTTAAAATCAAAACATTCTAGATATGTAAAATTCAAAACATTATGTTTAATAAATACAATTTTATTACTAAATGCTCTTTCATTCTAATGGAGTTAATAATAATAATAATAATAATAATAATTAAAAAAAAAAAAAAAAAACCCTCCGGAAATGCCAAATATGTGAAAAATCTGGATTGTTGACTGCATAAAAAACACAATTCATGTTAGAAAAGCCAAATGCATGGAAGAAATTTCTAGTCTATAACAATTATCTTATTTATCAACTTGAATAACAAATGTCTACATTTGAAATTATGCAAGATTAAGGAGGAAAAAGTGCATTTCAAACATATAAGCCACTGTATTTCATAGATCTTATCTGATTGTAAAATTCTATCAACTATGAAACCTAGCAAAGTCTTTCTTTAGTTACATAATTAACAGATATAAATTATGAACATAGCATATAAAAAACTTAAACTTACCATTTTTGAATATCAAAAAAAATACATTTTAAATTAAGCCAGATTTTGGAACAAAATGCATTTTATGAATAAAACCCAACATACTGTGTTTTCTTTGCATTAGATATTTTGAAAATTAATTTATATTTTAAATATTAGGACACATAAGTAGCTATAGTTTTTCAGAAGAGCACTTTAAGGGAGGAAAATATTACTTTAAATATGAGCCACTATAGTATATCTTAATAACAGTTCATTGTTTTCAAGTTCATTATGTCTATTTTGCATAGCCTTATTTTTTAAAGATTATTATTAATTATAATAAATCATAATTATTATAATAAAGGATTTAAAAAATGTCTGCAAATGAATTCACCTAAATAAGAATGGAACCACTGTTCCTGAAGACTTTCTTCAACAGCATTTTTTATCTTATCACCCAGTACAAGCAACACAGACACAGACATCTGGACATCACCCTGAAAAGGATGTAATATTTAAATTTTAAAAAAAAATTTATATGCCAATAGCATAGACCATGTCAGTTTCTTATACGAGGGTCACCTTGAAATTTCGAGATACACATAACTTACAATATTTTAGGAGTGTTTAAAGTAGTCTCCTCAAGAATCATTGCATTTCTGTAAGAGAATTTTCCAAAGATTAAATGCCTCAAGCCATTTATTTCTTGAAATCAATGAAAAAATGCATTTATAGCCTCATCAATCTCATATTCGGAATGAATGATGTGAAGAGAGTTGCGACGTCTGCGAAATTCTGTAAGCCATTTGAATACAGTAACACGAGATGGACCTTCATTTCTAAATGCTAATTGAAGACGTTCAACACATTTTTCTTGATCCCACTTTAAAATCATAGAAAATTATAGTGCGATAATGTTCTCAGGTCAACTCCATTTTCCCTTCTGCCAAAAATTCATTCTACGCTAAACTACTTGCAGTTGGACAATAAAAAATTATCTGCTATCCTAAAATAGTTCATATTTTCAAATCTAACAGTTAATTTTTTCTGCCACTTATCTGCATGTATCTCAAAAATTGCAGAGTGATCAACATACAATGTAATATGCAGAATTGAATTCAATATTTTTCATCATAAGAATTATGAAAGCATTACCTGTTCAGCATAGGATTTAAGCATGTCTGCTACAATTTCTGTAAAATTCCAAGGTGGAAATCTGGGAGCATTATGTAAAGCAAGCATCATGCTTTGCTCTTCCTCTTCATTTACAGCATACTCTCGTTCGGAAATTTCTTCTGCTGCACATAAAGGTGAACTTGGCATATTAGCTATCTCAGGAGGAGGAGATCCATCTGTTAGTGGATGTCGAATATTGAAAGCTTCTCGAGGTAATGTCCAGTCTTCATCAGCCGGCAAAGTGGATAGCTGTGAATAATCTAGCATGCGGAACAATTCAGCTTCCCCATCACCAAAGAAAAAATCCCCTTGGGCTAGCTCACTAGCAAAATATGTTATGGTGTTTTCATGCTCTGTATTCCCAGAATCTGAGTCATCCTCCAGTGGGCCAGGATTATCGTTAATTCCTCTCTCTGCAGGAACATGGCTCCCACCACTCACATGCCGACTACCTGATTTGCTGCTATTGTGATGACTGCGGTAAGCTGCACCATTATTGACCCTTAATGGATGTTTAAGGGAACTTTCCTGAGAGCTCTCTAAAGCTGAAAAATGAAGATAATTTGCTCAATATTTGTTCCTAAATAATCAAAAATAAAAAATATTTTTCAAATGAAAAATATACAGTAGATTTCTTCTTGCCTGTCCTTTAATAACAGTACTTTTATTAAGATATTTTTTTTGCGAATAAATTTTTATTGCCTATTCTAGGAAAAAAAAACAGCATGAAGTGTACTAATAGAAGTAATATTTCTATCATAGGTAAGTAAAATTAATTATAACATCATAATTTTAAAGCTGCCAAGCATAAGCAATTAGCATTTGATATATTTGTACCTTAGTTACAATATACCTTAGATTACACTTATTGTAATCTAAGGTATATTGTATTACATTTTTATATTAGTTTTCTGGTGAAAATTTTTATTTATATTAATTTGAAATGATGAACTCAAAGACAACATGAAGCATAATAAAAATCAAATCGCTGGAACATATTGATAATGGAGAGCCTGGAAATGAATATCAGAAAAACTACAATGTATAATACATAAAGAAATTGATAATACTTTTGTGATTTTAACATGCAAATTGAACCAATAAAGGTACTCTAAAAAATACTTGATGAAGGAGATAGTACAGTGATATGTAGTGAAATAATAACGGATAAAGATAATATAGTGGTATATAATGAAATATTATATACTGAACTGCAAAAAAAAATTCATTTGCAATTGATAGTTCTTTAAAAAAAAAAAGAAGAAGAAGAAAAGAAATTACTGAAAAAACATGCTAAACAAATAAACTTTTAATACATGTTTAGAGATAATAAATACACTGTGGAAACATATTAGAAAATCTATGTTGTTAAGGTTTGATTGCATAAATCTTATAATTTTTAAAGAAAATCCCTTTTTCCACCCCCCCCCCGAATGGCAGGAACTTTTTTTTGTCTTCTTTGGCCATTGGCCACTAATAAGGGCAGAAGTGAAGGCCATTTGATTGTAGAGGCATCTAACAGGTAGCCAGTGTTATGAAGGGATGGACAATTACAACCATGCCTTCTCCAGAATTCGAACCTGGGCCCTTCGGTATCTTAGTCGGCTCTCCTAATCCTATGAAGTCATGTATCTACAGAAAATGTTATGCAAAATATGATGTGGTTTGCCAGAAAGATTTCTTTTACTAGTCAGATGTGGGTGTTGTATGCCACAACATAGATCCAATAAGGTATTAGCATGAGTGAACATGCATATTTTATAACTAGTGCCTAATAGTAAAACATCTCATTTAGTTATCTGATTACAAATAAGCTGATTTTTTTTTTAACGTAAATTCTTTAAATAAGCCCTGTAACTTGTTTAGAATAACAAGCAAAGCAAAAAAATTGACTGACTAGCTAGTAAAACAAAACAATTTCTTTATCTGAAAAAGGTAACACTTATGAAGAAACATAAGATAAGTTGGTGAAAGTACAATTAAAAGAAAAATTTTTAAACAATGAAATAAATATCAACAGATATAGTGGAATGAAGATCAAACAGGGAACTGTAAGAAAAGACCTATTATAATATGTGTAATAGATGAATTTTTAAAAAAGTGTGAGTGGTTAAGGCAAACAAAATAATTTACTAGACTGTGGTGCAAACTAAATAACTGGACTCTTCAAACTTCAGCATTTTGGATTAAAAGTTCTAAATTCCAATAAAAGAGCTTTTTTTTTTATCTTTCAAACAATGGCAGATTGAATTAAATTAAAAAATATCTATCACTTAGTTATATAAAAAATAGAAGTAACATCTCTAGTGATGAAACCAAAATATCCACATTTAACAGTAATAGAATGAAATGTGCTGAATGTGCAACACCTACTAAGAAGCACACAGTCATTCACTCTTTCACATCGAAGTCGCCCCAAACGCCTGCGCATTCAGACAATGGCAGGTCGCCCGAATGCCTGAATAATTTCCTATCTAGTGCCTTCCCCCATCACGTTATTTCATTGCTCATTGCTTTCAAGAGTTGTTAAATGACATGTCGATCATTCCTTTCAAACGACTAAAAGTAGTTCTGTTATTTTAATGCACCTTCTTTTTCCTTTGTTTACTGTTAATGTTTAGCTACTGATGTCCAAAGTTGCAATCCCGTCACAAGGGGAAATTTCACACAGGGGGAAAGCGTCCAAGAAAGAAGTTGTCGCTTTACTTAAGTAGGTTATTGTTAGCACTGTAGTATTCAATTTGTCATAGGGAAAGGAAAAGCATTCCAACAGAAATTCGTATACACGGGCATTTTCAATGTTTGAGTAAAAGAGATTTGGTTCTCTCTTGATGCAAAAGAGTTAATAGGTCCCACCAGCGGCCAAGCGGTAAAGTTGCTGAACACTGGTAGTTTGGTCTGAGGTTTGAATACCGGCAAACAGACTGGCTGCATGGGCATTTTCATAGTTTCCCTCTTGTGCAATACGTACACAAGCCAGTTTCCCTTAGAAAGTCCTCCATAAAGGTATCTCCTCCCCTTAGGCAGATAGTCCTCGTAAGCTTTGCCATAATCAACTAAAATCAAACCAAAACCAGTCATGCTGTGACAATGCATGATAGCAAAAGCTACAGAAACAACTTGTGTCAGTAATGTCATTTTAATGTATGTTCTCATGATGAGCACATGCGAACGGCATTTCTCTGAGCCAGCGGGTCATATAAGTCATATAGTCACATAGGTCCGAAACCCCATCTCTGTTTTAATCCTTTTTAATATTTACAATTTATATACGAAGGTTGGAACTTTAATAGTGGCAACACAGCTGAAAAAACACTACGCAACAAAACCAAAATTTATCGTGTATACCACAAGTAAACTACATACCTACCTTACCTCTCAGCAAAAAGACTCGTCCTGCCTACGTCACGCGCATGAGGAGTGACGCAAAGAACGGATCCTTGTATTAGCTCGCGGTCTAAAGTAAGTGTTGTCAGGATGTTTTCAAAACAAGAACAACGATGTTGGATAAAAATTGAATGTGCCAGAGGTCGTACAGCACGACAGTGTCATCAAGGGCTTCAAGAGGCTTGCGGGGAATCTGCATTGCCTTACAGAACCGTAGCAAGATGGGTGAAAGCATTCAATGAAGGACGCCAAAACGTGGCAGACATGCTGCGGCCAGGTCGTCCGAGTGTCAGCGATGCAGACGTGCAAGCTGTTGCCGCACTAATGGACAGTGATCGCCGCCAAACGATTCGTCAGCTGGCCGGACAAACAGGATTAGCGCATACGACTGTGCTGCACATTCTGAAGGAACGCCTGTCCATGAGAAAAATTGCTTCACGATGGGTTCCACATCAATTGACGGAAATGCAGAAATGGCTACGATACGATGCTGCCCGAACCCACCTGGAGCGCTATGAGCGCGAAGGAGATGCTTTTTTACGCCGTATCATTACGCTGGATGAGACTTGGGCCCGATCGTACCAGCCAGAACTGAAACGCCAATCAAACGAATGGCGTCATCACGGGTCACCACGACGTTCGAAATTTCGTCAGAACCCCAGCAATGTGAAAGTTATGGTGATTCTCGTGTACGACTGTGATGGTGTCATCCTAACGCATACCGTTCCCCCACAGCAGACCGTCACTGCGCAGTATTACTGCTCATTTTTGGAGCACAATCTCCGACCAGCTTTGAGAAAAAAACGGCGACACTTTCTGCAGAACGCTCCTCTCATTTTGCATGACAATGCTCGGCCGCATGCAGCGCAAGCTGTGACTGATTTGTTCAAGCGATGGGGCTGGGAAGTGCTTTACCATCCACCATACTCCCCAGATCTAAGCCCTTGTGACTATGACTTAATTCCTAAGATGAAGGAACCACTTCGTGGCACTCGCTTCCAAACTGTTCCTGAGATTCTTGCGGCAGTAGACCGGTCCATTCAAACTATCAACAAAACAGGCGCTGCTACAGGTATTCTGCGACTTCCACATCGTTGGAAACGGGTTGTACACAATGCTGGCGACTATATTGAAGGACTGTAAAACATGGTGACATGAATCACTTTTGTATTCCTTGTAAATAAATAGTTGCCACTATTAAAGTTCCAGCCCTCATATTTAGTTTATAAATTATTAATATATATAGTTATATAACTTTATAATACATCTTCATATTTACTCCTGCACTATTGTTCAGATATGGCTGGCATGGCTTAATATATCAAATATGATTGACGCAAGTAACTAATACTATGTTGGAGCCACACTGGTTATTTGTGAATGACATGTTTTTCCCCACTATTAATATTATTGTTTTTTATAGACAGACCATAAAAATGTTACAAAATCAATTTTTAACAATGGCTCTCATAATATCCAGTTACATTTTTTTATTATTATAGCCACTTGTTATTGAGACAGCATATGTGCTAAAATAGCAGTTAATAATATGATATATTAAGTGTCAAAATTAATACCATCAGGCTATGGCTGCTTCAGTAATAATGAGACTTTCATGTTTCAAAAAAACTATCAGGTTTCCATTCAATGCAAACTGTAGTTTTAAGGAAATAATGCTGCGCTGCTAGAATAGTCAAGAAGTCTTGACCTTAAGCACAAATGAGGGATGGTGGGAAAATCTCCAGAAAGAAATTTGTCAGTCTGAAAATATCCCAGAATAAAGTACAACTTGGAGATGCAATATAAAATCCTGGGTCTTAATGCTTGGTGAACTAAAATCCTAAACTCACTCCATAGGACACTGTTGCTAGACTATATTTTCAATAACTGATTTCTCAACAAAATAATATTGGAAGTTCTGATAAACTAAGAAATTTGCATTCTCACAATTTAGAGTACACACTTTTACTGAAAATGCATAACTTTGCTTCATAGAGTGAATTGCCTTATGTTTTAAATTAAATGGTGATTGTAATGATGAATGCTTTTTTTTATAATATTAAAATATTTATTATATGTATGGATATTTGTACTATATGTTGTTAAACTTTAAAAATACAAATTTTCAAAAGGCTTCCACAATTTTTGCTGCTAATCTATGCATATACGTCACTTAATTTGATATATAGCATATAGTTGCCATTTTCTATACTTTTGGAAAAGAGGGCTTTCAGCTTATCAAGAGCCTTCTGGAATACAAAAATTAAATAAAACAGTATATGCACTACAATTTATTCACAGCAGCTATATTTAAAAGAAAACTAAGCTACAGTATCTATTAATACTGTATGGAATGATCACATAAGCTTACTACCAAGAATATTTTTTTCGTCTGTTTGACTTTTAATTGCAATAATATTATTTGTTAATTTTAATTCAACTACTGCTTCTTAAAAAATAATTTCTTCCTGCGCTACAATCTAGGCTTAACAATCTTTGCAAATCCAAAATTTCATAAAGGTTACATCTCTTCTTCCAGAATTCACAATTATGCAGAATGACATAGGAACAAAATTAAATCATTATTATTTAATGCACAGATTTCAAAAATAAAAAAAATCCTGATTATCACATCTTGAAAAATATATGCATATACATCTATATCAGGAAATAATTATTAAATACTCTGAAGTAAACATCCTATTGTACAAAACTAAATACTGCCTCTTAAATGTGGTTTAGTTTCCATATACTGAAATATACTGAAGTTTATTACATCAGATAACAATTTCATAGCCTCTCATGTTAGATATGGAAAGTAAACATGAGTTTTCCTCAATAATTTATTTACTTTATTTTAAGAATTAAATTTTCAGCCCAATAATATGCCATGACGAACTTAAAATATATCAGCTGTTCTACTGTTAAAGTTCTTAACAGAATTATTAATTGCTATTTTCTAATATTTACTGCTTAGTTTTGCTAATTCTTGAATTCTAGCCATTTGAAATTTAATAACATTACATTAAGAACACATCAAATAAATTATAAAAATTAAAATACATACCCTTTTCTTCCTGTAATTTATCTTGAGCTACCATATGAGAATATTCTGACAAGAGCATAGATCCTGATGTATACAGCAATTTTAAGATAAGCCATGTATGATAAATATAAGGCCGCTGCAACTGGGAAGCTACATTCGCATTATGTTCACATAAATCTGGCAAAGGCTTTCCATGCAACATATACCTCTCAGCAGTCTTGACGAACCAATCCATTGATAAATGCTAAAAATAATTAATACAATAATATTAAATAAAATTTTGGGCACAAATTATTAAAATGACAAGATTTGATGCTCAAAGGAATATAAGGATATAAATTTCTTTCATCAAGAGTTAACATAAAAGTTTATTTAATAAACATAAAATTTAATATAATCAGAGATAAAATGTACATTTTAAATTCTTTGGTTACAAACACAGCACACACCTCTACATTCAATTTGCTTTTCAGTTATTCATACTTAATGATTTCTTTTGCTACAGAAATTTTATCATCTACTAGCACATGTTATGTGTAACAATATCTAGAAAATGAAAAATACAATATACCAAAAAATTACACTTTCATATAGATTTGGAAGAACTTTTCATTTAATATGCCAAATTATGTTCTGCAGCTGAATTAGCTCAGAATGGTTTGTATATACTTTAAATGAGGATGATCAGTGGTCAGCTATTAAGGGCTTATGCAGGTCCTTTGTTAAATTTGTCTCCAATTTGTAAGCTCCTTGTTCTTATTTTTTCCTTAAAACAAATACATTCATTTTGTGTTAAAATCAGATGAATCTGAATGACTAATGATTAAAAGCAAGAATAAATTTTACAAAAAATTACAGCAAAGAAAACTATCGAACTGTCTCACGATGTCTTTACAAAATAGATTATTCCAGTGATGAAGAATTAAGACCTATTTTTAATGTTTATTATCCACAGACATATGGCATGGTAGATACGAGTATAACATACTCATATGAGGAGGAGATAAAAAGATACAAACTTAAATTTGTAATAAAACATGAAATAAACATGTATGATATTCGGGACTTTGTTGAAATGTCTTTAACAAGAAAACTGCATAACAAAATTCCTAATAGTATAAAAAAAGCTAATGATGGAGATTATTGCTATTACTAACACTCAAGCTGAATGAGCTTTTAGTTCGATGAACGATGTTTCTACAGGCAACAAATTTTCTGAGACAGTGAAACATATTTCAGATTTAGTAGCAATACTACTAAATCAGAAACTTTTAAACTAATTTAAAGCTAAATCCTATATAAAAACGTTTTTGCAAAATTATTGCAAATAATGTATGGCAACTTCTGGTGTAAATAAATTTTGCCCCATGATTAAATTTATTCATTAGTTTATGAATTTCTATGGCATTTTGTGTATTTTTATATTTTTTTAATTTTAAGACCTTATTTTTTTTTTCCTAATTTAGAAATGTTTATGCACAATTATCTGTATTTTTAGTTTTTATACAAAGTAAAATGTTTAATTTGATATTTTGTTTTTATAAGATATAAGACCTTTGTTAAAATTTTCACAGCTCTTCACTAGATATGATAGATGATAAAAATCTTAATTATAACCATCTCTCACTATAATGATATCAATAATAACTGCCACACTTCATTCTCTACTATCTGACGTAAGTTACAACAAGTTAATGTTTAAAAACAAAAAAAGGAAACTATATCAATAAAACATCCACAAATAATCATGTACAGGTATAACAAATTTTAGTAATTATGTATAAGAATTTATATTTTAAAATTAGCAGTAGTGCTCGCTGAAATCAACACTGCAGTACTGCAGGGTAATAGCTAGTACAATATCTGCACTAAATATTAGAAATAACAGAATTAGCTGAATAAAAGATAGGATATGCAAATATATAAAATACTACTTCATAAATTTTGAAATATGACTAACAATTTCGTCTGCTTATTTCTAAAACAACAATCTCTTTAGAAATAATATATCTACAGAGATTACATTTTGAAAAATAATTATATAGCATACTGCATGCAGAGGAATGCAGTTCTATTAAAGGATTTTTGTCATATTTAGACACATAAAAATTCTAATAATTCAGAATAAATCTTCACGCAGTGGGAGAACTATAAACACCAATTCATGAAACTGACTACCAGTCCACAATGAAGAACATACTGCATGATCATGATAATTAAAAGCATGAAACTAGGACAACTGTTTGTAAAAAGCCCGACAGAGAGAGCAATGATGCTTGAAACACATTCCTAAGCTACATCCAAGATTTAATAATTAAAAGCAATAAATTTAAATACCTACTTTCATTATAAATCTCAACCGTTCTATCTCCATAAAATAGATCATATTAATAAAAACAAGTATGTTGTATTTTAATTTTAGAAACATAATAGTAAATACTGCATCCCCCTAAGTCACTTATTCTCAGCACAGAATTACCCTAAATTAGATACACTATCAAAGGCAATTTATACTAAAATCTTAAACCTATAATGATAGACATCTTTAAAATACACATTAAAGATAACACTAACCTAAGATATATTGTAATGTAAATTATCATCAATACTAAAGGAAGTCAGTACGTAACCTTTCCAAGACTTTTCTCGTAAAGTCGTATTACTTGGTACTTTTCATATTTTATTATATTTTAATACTGTAATAGATTTTATTATTTGAGATATTTCAAGAGATAAACAAGTGGTTATTCTAATGGTTTAAGAAAATGTTTTTCTTTACAAAGAAAGTTTGAATAATCATCTAATGAAATTTAAACATGATGTAAAACTAAAATGGCTATACAGTTTCCATTCATTCCAAGTATAAAAACTGTCCAAACACAAACATAGTTTGTCACATTCCTTGTTCCTTTTATTACTACCATACAATTCATAGAGTATCATACAATTCAAGAGTTAAACGACTATTTTTTAGCTCAGTATTTATCGACTGCTATTATTTTTATCGTTGTTTTAGGTGTTTTATTTAGTCATATAACATACAATAAATATAACTATTCCAACCCCTTTTATTTACTTTTATTTCATATTTCTCCTTTTCTGGAAGATGTTTCAGGTACGAAACCAACAAAAATCAAAAGGGACAAAAATACACATACAATAAATACAACTACTCGAACCCTTTTTATTTGCTTTTATTTAATATTTCTCCTTTTTCAGAAGATGTTTCAGGTATGAAACAACAGAAATCAAAGGAAAAAAATACTAACTGAAATTTAGTAAAAAGGAGGAAACTTTAAAAAAGGTTCAGAAGGAAGTCTAGTATATAATAAACAGAAATAAGTCCAATCGTAAAAATATGGCACCGAGAATACATGGCATAGATTAAATGAAAAACTACCACTCTTTTAAACAAAAATCAAACATAAAATCTACTTGTTCAGTATGAAAAGCATTTTATTTCTGAAATTTGAGACTTTTAAAATTCATTCAAATAAATAGTCATAAAAGCCCTAAGCTGCTATGAAGAAAATTAAAATCACATTCCTAATTTAGACACATTACACTTAATACATAAAGTTATTAGTACTGTAATATTTTACCAAATTAGATGCAAGGTTTTGTGAACTTTTTAAAAGAAAGATATATAAATGCATAATAAATACAGAAAAGCTTCCAATGAAACAATATTTACAATAATTCATACATCATATCAAGAAGATAATGACACACTAGATTTAAACACAGTAAGGATGCAATAAACTAGTAATTGAATAAAGGCTTCAGTGATCAATTATAAAAACTTTTAACAGCAAAAAAAATTTGAAAGTGACAAACATAACGTAATTTTAATATAGTTATCAAAATTCCTTAAAGGTAGGCACTTAATTCCAATAAAATTATGTAAATTATATGGGAAAGAATTTCTTTTAACATACTTTTAATTTTAAAAAAAATGAAATAACTTTTCTTCATAATTAAATACTAATTAATTTATTAAAAAAAGAACACAATTTTTAAAGAAATGTGACACTTTGGACATTTTTACACAAACCATACAATAATTAATGTGACCTTACAATTATTGTTATTTAATTACAATTGTATTTCATGTAAATTACACAAAATGGAAAATAATAAAAATAAATAATAATTTTTTCATAATATAATATATAATTCATAATAAGTCTATGGTAGGGTGATGCTCTGTTTTGTTTACTTTTTAACCTGGCGCTTGAGAAAGCTATCAGAGCTTCTGGTCTTATGAATAGAGAAATCATTTCCCATAAGGCAATACAAATCTTGGCATTGGCTGATGACAGTGCTATAGTGAGTAGATCCAGAAAGAATATTGTGGAATCATTTAATCTATTAGAAGCTGAGGCAAGAAAATTAGGCCTGACCATAAATGAAGATAAAACAAAATTTTTACAAATTGCCCATAATGCAACTAATCTATTGCCACTGACTATGAACAACTACACTTTTGAAAATGTGGCACAATTCAAACTACTTGGAACTATTGTCACTAACGATAATGATTTATCTATAGAAATTAATACAGGCTCCTTATTGTAAACAGATGCTACCATGGTCTTAAAAATCAGTTCAAATGTCGATTTATCTGCTGTAATACTAAAATATATAAAAAACCCTGTTACGTCCCATCAAACTATGTGGCTGCTCATGCTGGGCAATGACTAAAATAAGTGAAAATAAACTACTGATCTTTGAACATCAAATACTTAAAAAAAAAAAAAAAAAAAAAAAAAAAAAAAAATTACATAGTTTGTGAAAATGGTGTTTGGAGATCAATGTATAATCATGAAATATACCAAAAATTCAGACAGCCTGATATTGTCAAGGTCATTAAAAGCCACAGGATTTGATGTTTGAGTCATTTATACAGAACTGAAGACACAAACCCAGTGAAACCACTCATATTTACCAAACCTATGGGAGCTAGAAAATGAGAAAGGCCACCAATTAGGTGGCTTGATGCTGTTGAGGATGACATTAATACCATACATAGGGAAGACTGGAGCAGTATTCTCATGAATAGGTCCAGACAACATAGACTGATTGAGACAGCCTTGGCCAGCAATAGGCTGTAGTGCCTTGGAAGAAGATATAATATATGAAGAGACGTTGTCTTAAGTTAACAATGAAAATATTCAAAAGATGAAAAGATCTCCCTTTAATTTACATTAAAAAAAATGTTGTGTATATGGTTATGGTAATGAAAAAACAAATTAGCATAAAATATATCATTTATGATCAGCTTTTTATCAGTAGAATCTTACCAATTCATTCTCTTCATGTTAATTTCCAAAAATGCATGATCAAGATAAAATTTACAGCATGATTTTTTTATGTTAATTTCAGTATAAAATGTAATAATTTTAATGTTATTTTAAACCTAATCACTGCTCCTGAATTTTTACTAACGACACTTTTGTTTAAATTTAATAAAACATATGCAGTAAAAGGTATAACATGTCAAATTCCATAGACAATAAATTCCTGCAGTGCTTGTTTTAAAACTCTTAACATGAAAGTAAAAAATACAGCCCCAAATAAGTGTAATAAAAATAAACTGCTTAAATATGAAATTTGTCTTTAAGTAGGAAAGGGAGGATATGATATCAGATAACAATAAAATTAAGAATATCAACTTTTAAAATGAAATGCTAAAAAGCATACATATAAGTTTATTAAAAAATAATATGCCACCAAATAAGTCTAAATAACAATCAATTCATAAATTCCCTTGATATAAAGTACTTAAAAAAATGGATATGAAAAATATTTCAAAAATAAGAGTGACAAAACAAGTGAACACAAAAAGCAAATCTAACCTTTTAAAAAAAACTCTTACTTAATCATAAATTTAAAAAAAAAAAAAAAAAAGTTATATACCAGCTGAAAAGCAATGATATGAGGCTTATATTTAATACCTAAATGCAATTTTAAAAATTAGTAAAAATGCCATGTCTAATACATAAACTTTTTTGACATCAAAACACTCTTAGCAGAAAAGTAACAACACAGCAACTCATAAAAAAAATTACAAGTAATTCTTCAATAACTAAACTTATACCTGCCTCATGTCCATTCTTCAGTATTGTTAAGGCACTAATAGAAGATCTGAACTGATCTTGCATATTGGTTGTTCTTTTGAAAAAAGACTGCAGTCTATGGGCTGGATAATTAGAACCCTTGATATTTATGGCAGTATCTTTGAAGATATTCTTATTAAAGGCATATGACATATCACCAAAGGGATTTAAATCAAGACCCACAGGATTAGCCCGATCAGCAGGACGTACTGCATCTGCAAATGTATGCTGGTACAAAGAACGATCTTTGCTTGTCGTAAGCAAGAGATGAGGAGTACGCCATGCAAATCCTGAATAAAAAAATAAAAAACAGCTATTATTTGGTAACGTTCCTGTGATAAGATCAGTTACCTATATTTAAAAATAGCATATATTTCTTGCATATTAACATTTTTCAAAATTCATCTGAAATTCTTGCATGCAGCAACTGTAAAATTCACCACACGAACAATTCTGAGGCTATTTTTGAGTGTTTTAAAAGAATACTGAAAAATGGCTATCCATATTTCTGGGAACAGAAAGTAGGATTACAATCACCAGATGAATTCATAGTTCAAATTATTAGTTTAAGTCTTTCAACAACATACATACTATCATAGAAAGTTTTGCACTGTTAATTAAATAATGGTGAAAGAGAAGGCAAATTTAAGTAAAGGATAATAAAGCTTCATAAGCAAAATGAAATGGAAAAATTTTTTAATATAAATAAACATAGATTATTTATATCAAACTTTAGTGATGCTTGTTGGTAAATATAAGAAAAGAAATATTTCAAAGGAAGGATAAATACATATTATATTAAGGTAACTCTTTTATTAGTATTTCAAACATGCAAGCTTTGGAATCAAGCATATTCAAATGACAGGTTTATAAACGTTAAAAGGTTTTACAATTTTGGTAATGATTTCACATCATAAAAAACTGAATAACTGTAACAAAATGCATTATCTGTTTCTAATGATAAAAGGGAAAATGCAAAATATCAGTGCATCTTTATTTCTGAAATGCTAGTGATGCATAAAAAAATGAAATCACATGCCAAATTCCCATGAAATAATTGTCCATGTAACTTCATGACATGAAATTGCATGAAATAATTGTCCAGATGTACTGAATTAAGAGAAATTGGAGGGACGAATATAATTCAATATGGAAAATGTTAGATTATCCAAAATGCTTTAGATATGTATTTTAAATTTAATTCCGATTTCATGTGTTTGTCAAAGGTCCTTTTATTTATATAACGAAAAATGAGCAATTAATAGTATATTGTCCTTTTTGCTCGATAACTGTTTGCTTTCTTTTAACAAGCTTCGTAATTCCTCATTAACAAAAAAAAAAAAAAAAAAAAAAAAAAAAAACTTTGCTTTATCGGCAAAAAGCTGAGCAAGGTGCTGATTTAGTCTCATTTGATTTGAATGGTATCCTGCAAAAGAAATTTTGAAGAGAGTGAAACAAGTGAAAATCTGATGGTACAAGATCATGCAAGTATGTTACATGTGGCAGGACTTTTCATCCATTCACCAATGATTTTTGTCAGTGATCAAACTTGGGTGTGATGCGAAGAGGCAGGAATGAAGTTGAATAAGTGTTTATCTAGGATTGCACCAGTATAATTTTTATTTTCTGTGTGTCTGAAACATTTTTTTATACAATATCTACTGAAAAATATGGTTTTTAAAAGAATTAAGCTTATAAAAGCCAAGTTTTAGTCTATGTAAATGAAAATCTACCTCTGATGTAGAACCAGAAAGATTAGAATAGATGTAATAAAAAAAGATCTGTATAACAAGAACATTTTGCTCTAGATAAGATAAAATCATTAAATTAAATATTTTGAAAATCTGCAACATTTAGAAGTATATATAAGAGCCATTACATTATGATCACCCTGTTAATAACATGTAGGACCACCTTTAGTTCTCAAATCTGCCAGTACCCGGTGTGGCATTGACTCAACAAGGTGCTGATACATAGTTTGAGGTATCTGGTACCAAGTACTCACCAACTGGTCTTGCAATGTCCACACATTGTGAGGGGGTAGCGTAGCAGCACAAATTTGTTTTTCCAGGTGGGACCACAAATGCTCAATTGGATTAATTTCAGGCAAATTTAGAGGCCAAAACATGAATTGAAAGTCAAAGGAATGTTTCTCTAACCACTCCCTGACAACCTTATGAATACCAATACAATCCCAATAACACCATCCCCTGCTGGAAATGCTGTTATGAATTGGTGAACCTGGTCTGCAATGATATTCACGTAGCACACAGACATCAGGGAATGTTCTGTGGGAATTACGGGTCCTAATGTGCTCCATGAAAACGTTGCCCACACCAAAATGACCCCCGTGACCGGCTTGTCTCCATCCAACTGTGCATCCGGGAGCCAGGGTTTCCATTTGGAAATCATTGTATTAGCTCATCAATATGATGGACCAGAAAATGTGATGTGTCAGACCGTGCAACTTTCTTCCATTCTTCTAATATCCAATTCCGATGTTTCTTGCCCATTGCAGACACAGCTGGCGATGACATTCCATCACTGCAGGGACATGCCCTTTGGCTGCATAGGCCCAAACGCAGCAATGTATACTGCACAGTGTGTTGAGAAACACTGTCTAGATTGCCACTGTTGTAGTTGGATGTGATTTTGGCTTTTGTAGTTCTTCGGTCATGGCAAACAATGTATAGCAATCTCCTCTCTCCTCTGGAATCAATGCACTGTCGACAACACACAGCTGGCCGGCAACTTGTCATTGAGCCATAATGATTTTACCTTTATTAAAATCTGACAAATCAGCTACTTCTCCTATTATGTCACTAATAGGGCTATGTTTGGAAAAAAAATGCATAACCGCTTTATATATTCCAACGTCAGCCGCACATGCACAGTGGTTTTGTTCCTGGGAGAGCCCAATGTTATAGATGGGAGGGTGGTCATAATATAATAGGTCTTTGGTGTATATATAATTAACTCTTGACATATATAAATTATTAAAGGCAAATTAGAACTTGCTTTTTACAACTGAAATTCATTTAAGAAATGGATAAAATTTGTAGACTGTTTTAATAAGTAAATCAGAGTGAACTCATGCATACTTTTCAATTCAAAAAAAGTCTTTAATTGAATACTCCTTTTCTGCCATTACAAGTATGTCACCTGCTCCAGTCTAATTGAACAATGTTTTTTTTCCTACTCCTTGGACATTTGGCTTACTAATAATATAATTTGCCATGTCTTGAAATCTTCTGCCTCTCGAATAACCTTTCTTATTAATGACAATGGATTTCCTCTTATTTGCAAAATCCACGTTACAAAGAAGATGTATCAAGCACTTGTTTATTGTTTTTCTTTCATGACAACACCCATTTTTAAATATCAAACCACATTTTAAAATTTGAATTTTAAATTATGTGGAAACATTTGGAAAAATAACCAACTGGAAAGAAACATTCAAATACATGAACTCGAATTTTTGCCCACAGCACAGAGTATCATGGGTGCTTATGAAATAAGTGTAATTTGGGATCATAACACAGTCACTCTTGACATGACCAAGACACAGTCACTCTTGACATGACCAAGAAGCAATCAACCGTTCCATGTACTATGAGTTTTTAGGGAGTAGTAAATCATTATTAATATATAACCTAATGCCATACCATATCTCCAACGCTGTCAGTATTTCACAGTTTTGAGAAAGAAATTTTGATCTGTAACGCCTTTCCAAATCTGAAAGACTTACACAAAAGACATAATGTAATTTACGCAAAGAAGATGCTGAACTTGTTAGTAAAAACCAAGAAGCAAGAGCCATTCCATGTACTATGAGTTTTTAGAGAGTAGAACATCATCATTAATGTGTACACTTATGCCATACCCCAACCATCCTTAATGCTGTCATTATTTCATAGTTATACCACACTCCTTAATAATAAAAAAGACACTGCATGATATTAATTATTTTATATTTACAGCATCTCTCTTATATTTACAGAAATTTCTAAAACTTTGAGCTAAAAACGTTTTCTAAAATTTTTTTAGCAGTCACAAGAGCATATATGTGAAAATTAAAATAATTTCAAAAAACTTTTTACTGTTGCCAAAATAAGATCTAAAACTAAATTGCTATGAATCCAGTTTTGACTTCAGAAATATTACATTAACAAATAATTCATATTTTTATGGTATAACATATATCATTTAAATAATAACAATGATTAGGAAACAAATATTATAAAATAAACATTTTAGAATAATTATGCAATTCTGCTACTATAACTTTTTTTTTTTTCCCCCAGAAAATGGAAGGAGGTAAAACTCTTTTTCTCCTGAATTCTTAGGTGTATGACAAAAACCAGATTATTCCTTGCTTTTAAATAGATACTGAAACTGATCAGAAAATAAAAGATAGGGAATATATACAAGTGCAGTTTGGCAGACAAATTTTGTCTTCCTTACATCTAAAATATGACTTTTCATACTTGGTTAAAAAAATAAAATTTTTCATATTTTAACCTAAATCCAACCAATACTTTTCTCTCTTGTAATTGAAATTTTTTTACATCCAAATTTCCTAAAACAAGAATCAATGTTTATACACATTTCTACAAAGTAAAATTAATATTTAGCAATATAAATTCTGCAATAATAAACAAAAATCAGATTTAAAAAATGGTATAAAAAGTTTTTTTTTTTTTTTTAATTGTGCAAAGCAAAACACAACTAATAAAATAATAATTTTGTTTTTTTCTTTACCAGTAGCAACATCTTTGTGTTCACAAAATGATGCAAATGGCACATATGGTCTTCTGATATCCCAAACATTCACAGTAAAATCAACAACCAATGAACTACTTGCAATATGGTATTTATTAGATGGTCGCCATTTTACTCTTGAAACAGATGCAATTGTTTGAATGCAATTTTCTAAAACTTCTTTAAAACTTGTGTCCCAAATCTGGATTTAAAAAGAAACATAATCATATCAGATATTTTACATGGATTAGCTACACGGATCTAAAAATTGTAATTACTAATTAAATATAACAGATAAAACTAGGAAATTCAGGATCATAGTGAAATAGCACATCTTACAATATAATTTAAAAAAAAAAAACTTTTTGAAATGAAAACTGTTTACATGGTTTATAAGTAACTAATACAGATCATTTTAAAACTGTAAATATGCATAACTGAAAAATAAATCCCAAACAAATAATAAAATACCAGAAAAATAAAGACTATACAAATCACACAATTAAATACAGTAAGGATTATTTCCTCAATAAAATAATTAATTTGCAACCCACTATTAAAATAAATTAATTCAATAAAGTAACCTTGATTGTTTTATCTCGACCAGCTGTTGCGAACAAAAATTTTTCCTCTGGATGCCAGTCACAAGTAAATACAGGACCATTGTGAGCAGCAAATTGCCTTTCAAATTTGTCAGTTCTTCTAAGGTCCCACAACTGAACATAACCATTTTCTTGAACAGCAGCAAAAGAAAAGTACTGATGTGGACAAAACTGAACATCTCTCACACTTTCCGATAAACTGAAAATAGATTTTATCAGTTTGAATTTTTAATATTAAAAAAAGAGTTTTTGAATTTTTAATATTAAAAAAGAGTTATCTGGCAAAACAATATATGCCACTATCAATACATATACATAAAAAGTTAACAAAATTCAACTGACTGACTAGACAGTAAATTTATTAATTAATAATAATCTATTAACTAACAAAATAATTAAAGAATTAGATTTATAAACAGCAGTGATTGCTCAGCGATCATACAGCATATTAAGAATAAATTAGACTAAAAACCTCAAAATGCAAAATAAAGAAAATAATTTTTCTCATAGCACTGCAAAAGCAATTGAGCATAATTTTATATTTTACAAGTGAAGGGAGCATATTCAAACCAAGCAGTTAAATATTTATTTTAAAAGATAGTTATCAATTAATAAAAATGAGAGCATGTAAATAAAAGTCACCTATAAAAAGTACTAGTAGCTTCCTTTTTTCTTAAATCAAATAACTTCATTGTACCATCTTGTGAACCACTCAACAGGAAGTGTGCTTCACTGGTGTGAAAACAAACTTTGTTCACTGTTCTTTTGTGATCTTGGAATTTCATTTCTAAAATTAAAAAATACATATAAGTTTTTAAATTATACAAGTTAGTTACAAAATAAATAAAGAAATAAAAAGATTAAAATATTCATACAGATTACAGCTATTATATATTAACTTCAAACTGAAATTTAATGTAGTTTTATTTCACAGAATATATATTTTTTAATAAAAATTTGATCCTATATTAAAGTTTTACTACACAGTTAATCATCGAATAAATTTACATCAGTTAATAATACATATCATTCTTAACTGAAATCTACAGTCAAAAGTCTTTAATCCTGACTCATCGGGACTTCAACAATTCCAGATTATCACTTTTTCTGGATTATAGATCATCAGTTTAAATCTGGTAAGATGGCATGCAGAAATTATACAATTAAAAATATGAAATCGTAATTTATGAAATAAAGAGCAATTGTGATCTAAAGGGTATCAAAATTTTTAAAAAGAAAAAAACCTTAATATTTGTTTGTTATTAAAAATTTTTTCAACGCGCGCATGTGTAAAGCAACATTACGCATAATCGAAATTAGAAAATTGCAACCAGAAAACAATTTTATATGTATTCGTGATATTTATAATGACGAGAAACTTGATTTAAATCATATCGGAGTACATAGAGATAAAACACTACATTTAGTAAGGAATTATAAGCCGAATAAAATAAAAACATCTCCCCTGAAGATGAGGATAGTGTTGACAAATCAACTTCCAGTTCATTGCGCGCCACGACGTCCCCCCCTTCTTTGGCAGAGCAGCGTGAAATAGATAAACAGATTTCGCAATGTTTAGAGAAACAAATCACCTCTCTGTCACTTTCTTCATGCCTTTAGCCATTTTTTGCAGCAATTCCACTTTTTGTTTAATGGACATAGAAACATGCTTTCGCTTTGTAGATCCTTCGGCAGATCTAAAATTGGAAATTCTATTTGACATAATCGAAAGTTCAAGCTTACTTTTATAAAATTGCTCTAACAGTCTACAAAAAAAAATAAGCCGGATCAAATTCGAAGATTAAGGTACAACGCGATATGCAACATTAACTGAAATAGATAATTTTAGCTTAGCTTATACCGTCCGTTATACATCAAACGTGCATGCGCACGCGCATATTTGCAGCCGTAAAGCTTATACCATCCGTTATACATTAAACAAACATGCGTAAACATATTATGCACATGCGTAAAGGTATTATGCAGATGCGTAAGCGCTACGCATGCGCAGAAAGTTTGTAGCTTTGAGGTCCTAATTATAGATTATTACAGATTATGGACGTCCAGATTAAAGACTTTTGACTGTACAGTACACTCCCAATTATCCGCGGAATTGGGTGGCGCGGCCGCCGCAGATAACAAAAAATGCGGATAATCCGAAAAAAGCTAAAAACGGGTATAGCAAATAAGAAAACAGTCATTCAAACTTTGAAAAATCGTTTTATGTACAATAAAACGTAAAATAAACAGCAGGAAATGTTTAACTAGTGCTTAATATTTTAGCTTATTATGCTTAATATATTCTCCCCATGAAGTCCAATTTCTCGAATTCCATGTCGCTGCTGAAAATGAGTCAACCTGCCAGAAGACACATCAAAATTTCCTTTCAGGCCTAACAACTCAAAAAAGGTTTTTGCCTTTGCTGCAATGACAGGACCATTTACAGGAGTACCCTCTTTTCGAACTTGAGCTAATCACTCTGTCAATGCCATGTCTAGCTCATCAAAGGTAGAACCCTTCAAAGTTTTTTGCGTTTTCATTGTGGAAGCACTGTCCGACATTGATGCAAAGTTCACCAGTTTGTCTTTTTGCTTTAGAATGTCATGCACTGTTATTTCCGCGATTCTGTAATTTAATTCCATCTGCTGCCTTGTAGCGCCGTTTTCTACTTTGGAAATTAATTTTTGTTTTCATGCAATCGTTAAAACAACCTTCTTTCATTTTCCTGACATTTTAAATCGGTAACGAAAAACACAAAACCAAAAAGCACAAGCACTGAACACAATAAAAGATAAGAAATTAACTCCAACCAGTTCGCAAGCACTATCAGGCTTAAGCTAACAATGGCGAGTGGAAGAAAGTGGGCATGTCAGTAAGATTAAGACGAGAGAGGGCAGTGAAGCAGGCACTGCAAGGGTGAGTAAGAAATCACTTACTCATCAGAGGGGAAGGTTCAGAGAAGGCTGAGGATATTTTTGCCAGAAATAAGCACAATGTTAGCAAATTTAATGTTTCTCTCAGTTTTGTGAACATTTTTATTTTCTTTGCTTTACACTTATTAAAAAAAAAAAAAAAAAAAAAAAAAAAACTTTGTGCGGCAGGCGCGGATAATCCGCTCCATGGATAATCGGGAGTCTACTGTACTAATAAATTGACAAATTTCACAAGAGCAGGGGAAAGTGGAAAGCATTCCTTTTTTTCTATATCAAATCTCATACAAATTTCTGCTCAATAACAATAATATATTGAACAAAAATTGATCCTTATTTATTAATATAAAATTACAAAAATATAAACACCTTTAATTTGTTTGTTACATCTAAGCTGACATTTATGAATGTAATTATTTATTATTAGTTGAATATTTCTTTTCCAGTAGCAATAACAATGCACATACATAAGTTTTTTCAAAGGACTTCCAGATTCTTCAAAAAAATAATAAAGAAGTTTCTGCATTTAAATTAAACAAAAGAAGTACATATTTTTCCCCTCAAAATGCTTATTCATTATAAATCTGTACTAAAGTATTTTGTTTATTGGTAATGATATAGTACACAACCCACTGTTTTCAGTCAGTTGCCTTCACATTATCTTCAGAAGAATGGTGGAGTATTAATAGTGAAATAATAATTGGTTTAGAATAAATAAAACTGATGGCTATTCTCTCTCCATGCTGCTTGACATTCGTAATATATATGGCTTAATGACTCATAAAAACAGTCTTTTTAGAGACCACTTCTGATTTTTTTTTTTTTTTTTTTTTTTATTTCAGATTTTTAAATTAACAGAATCATTTTCATTTGCACATTAATTATTAGCATTAAAAAACAGTGCTTCAATGGCATCTTCTAATAAGTAGAAAACTAATTAAAAGCAGTAGATCATATGCTAAATCAGTACCTACTTAATTTGAACATTCATATTTTTTCCCAGAATTAAATTTAACAGATCTTAAATCAGAAAAAAGCATTTAAAAATATGAACAATCATATCATTACATGAAATCCTAACACTGGCGGAATTTTATTTAAGAAGCATTGGCCATTTAAATACATAGTACAAAGCCACTCCAAAGGAGAAATAGTAAAATAGAAAATTCATAAATGAGAGGTTTCAGAGAAGCACAAATCATGCTATATTTTGAAAACAACAGTCAAAGTAACCTTGTCTTAGAAAGGAATGGAAGAAAAACAGAATCTTCTCTTTTAAACTTAATTACACGGGCTATTATACTCAGCTGGATACTTAGTACACTTTGTAGAAATAAATAAATACCTCTATCACTAAATCCGGTAATACTGCTGTAATGTCAAATGATCGGTTTTTTACAAGTGATAAATCAATAATAAACTTTTTAATAACGTAACACAAGCCAGCATAGATGATTTGCAATAACAGTGATGCAGAAGGTACTTTACAGATCTGAACACTTTTTAAAAAATCATGCAAAATCAGCAAATTGGCATATAAAAATATAGTTTGCAATTAAATTGCTTTTTTTTTTTTCTTTCTTTTCTTGATGTGCATGTGTATAAGCTACATTTTATTTCAAATTTTCATCAATACATGGCATTGCTGGCATAACATTATAAGAATAGAATAAGAAAATTAAGATTATACAGTACTTATTTATTTGCATTTACAAGAATATTACAATAGAATTAATTATGTAGCAGTTCATCATTAGCACTCGACTGTCCATTTTCTTTTAAAGTACTACTTAAATTCATATGTTTCCATGGTATTAATGATATAATGCCACCTAATGGTAAAAATCTGAACTAAAGTATGCCTATGCCTTATATTAATTTTTTTAATGTAATTTCGCACAGCCAAGATATTTCAATAAGTCATTTTTCACATTGTGGAATGATATGTGCAATTTTGGTAAGATCACCATCAACTTTCATAGTTCAATGGTAGTCAACTTTCACAGTCAAATGGATAATCCAGGGCTAACATAAATGTTTCATTCATTTTGAAAAGGCTATATTTTCAAAAGTATTACATGTATGCACATGAAAGATATAATAAGAACCAAACTCACCAAGTTTGTATTGTGTATTCTAAACAGCAGCATAAGTCCATTTTCTCTAAAATTGGGTAAGGCAGTAAGAGGGTAATACCTGTCGAAAATGTCCATTTGGGAATCGTGACAATTGAAAGAGATTTACGAAAAGTGAATGCTTTCTGTGCAGTGACACAAACAAAGATGTAAGGGCTGTTTTTCCTTTCGCTGAGTAAACTGTGACTGGTACATGTTACCTGGGTATGTTGTAGTTATGGTTGTTTCCGCAACTCGATGCTGACTTCAGGTATTTTTTCTTCCAATAAGATGGGGCACCCCCTCATTTGTACATCCCAGTTTGTGACTACCTAAATGAGGAACTTCCAAATCACTGTATTGGGTATATTGATGAGAATGACCTAGCTTTGTTCCCTAGGCCTCCCATATCCCCTGATTCCCTGAATGCCCTGCGATTTCTACCTGTGGGTGTATATTAAGCACCATGTTTACATACCCCCGTACCACAATCCTTATTTGCATCAGTGCTACAGTGCAGAAAATTGACAGGATTATGCTACAAAATGTATGGAATGAGCTTGATTATCACCTGGACGTGTTTCGTGTCACCAGAGTGGCACATATTCAACATCTTGTAGAGGATGTATAAACTTCACGAGTTTGTGGTTCTTTTCATGTATCTGTCATGTGCATACGTGTAATACTTTTGAAAATATAGCCTTTTCAAAATGAAGAATCATTTAAGCAAGCCCAGTACATTACTACTTGAAAAACAAATGAATATTGCATGGAGATCTAGACAAAGAATAAAAGCTCTTAAGGAATTTTCAGCAGCATTTAAATCATTTTAAGAATTACAATGGTTATGGCAGTTGTCTTTTTATTTATCTTTTAAAATACTTTTATCATGATTTTATGGTTTTAAGGTGCATAATTACCACACTAATTTTAGAGTTAAAATTCCCTGCTAGATATACAAGTGACATAGAATGAAAAATCAAAACTACAGCTCAGCAATTTTTTACCCAAATATATCAGAGTTTTCTAAGGAAGAACTGAAGTAAAAAAGTAAATTCAAGGAAGAAGCTCACCAGTATTTAAAACAGGGCCAATCTTACTTGAATGTAAAATCTCAGAATTATAAGTAAATAAGTATACAAGCTTTTAATAAATCCCCAATTTGTTTCATAACAAAATGCTGCTAAAAAGATCATTAGTGTGCTAATTATATACCTCAAAACCATAAAATCATGATAAAAGTATTTTAAAAGATAAAGAAATGCTGCTAAAATGTATTGCACCAAAATAAAACTAAAAAATAATGATGGCCATAAATTGATAAAAACCAATAAAAAATTCTAAATAAATGATATTGGAATTATGCCTACATATGTCAATAGGACTCCTTGACAGTTATTTTGAAAAATAACTTCATAAAACTATTTACAGATTTTCAGCAGACTTAATTTCTAATAATGATTTTAGCCATCAACAGTTTCATTACTGCCATCAGAAAAGCTTGACAGGTTTTCACCTTCAGATAACCCATAAAAAAATTCAAATTGAGAATTTTTTTGGAAAGAGAATGTATAATATATCAATATTATACATTCTCTTTCCAAAAAAAAAAATGTACATTTACATGTCCAAATAGATATAAAAAAAACCAAATGAATAAATTGTTGGCTGGTTAATCAGCTTTTAAGTCTTAACTAACCAAAATTCCTTTATGTATATTCTATGATGCTTTGCTGTCTATTAGCTCTATCAAATTAAATAAGAAATGAATATCCCATGCATGTGCTACTGATATAAATGATTTGTTTAAACAGTCTTTGTTCTTTAATATAGCATTATCTTGCATTTCTATTAATTTATATTTTTAAACTAGAAATTTTATTTTATTATTTATAACCGTAAAATTTTTGGTATTTCAAAATGCTTTGCAAAAGCTTCTATCACATATATAGATTAGGAGCTATAAATTTTTGATAATTTTGCTATTTAAATCTCAAAACTAGTATGTATGTATGCTACAAAACATTCAATGATAAAAAAAAAAAAAAAAAAAAAAAAAAAGATTATTGCATGAAAAGTATTCAAATAATACTTTATTTAAAAGAACACTTATTTGAGAAGAAAACTTACCCTGTTTATGAGTTGAATTTAGATTCCAGGTAAAACAGATCCTTAGTCGCAGCAGTAGCGAGAACAGCATCTACAGATGGAAAAATCGATTTCCTCTTCAAAAATACAGAACAACATATAACAGCATCAGCATTTTCATCAAGTGCTTTGTAGAGCATTTATTTGCACTATAATTTAATTTTAAAGAGCAAGAATATATATATATATATATATATATATATATGAACTTTTGCATTGTTCTAAAATTGCCAGCAGTTCATTCTATCATTCATTACATATTCAATATAGAATTATAATAAATAACTATAATTGCTTGCAAATATTTTATGCAAAATGCATTTAAGCCCAAATACTCATAATAATAATGAAATTTTTAATTGATAATTTAATAAAATTTATAATTTTTCCCTTAAAACTTATTGTCTCAAGAGGCAGAATCTGATGATTGAACGTTAACCCGACATTTGGTGATAATACATAAGTATCCATGAAAAAATTAATTTGGAATGAGGAAAGAAGGTTGGTTCTAATACAAAGTTAACTACTAAAGCAATAACTACCTTCACACATCAAAAGAGAAAAGTTTAGTTAAATAAAGAAAATTCAATGTTAAGTAACAAATAAGCTGCTACCAGCTTTCCTAAATATTACAGAAAAATAATCAAATCGCACATTTACCTTCAACAGGATTCCAAACAACATCAGCACAACTATAACTGAGATCAATATTTTTACCCATTCGAAGATTCAGTTTCTCTACAAATTTAGTAGCTTCGACATTAAATATCTTGAAAACTGAAAAATAATCAAGTGAAAGATATGAATAATTTATCTTTATAATATCAGTTTCTTATTATATATATATGAATTAAAACTGGAGTTTAATACAGTTTTCAGACATCTCAGTTCACTCACTAGCTAATAAAAATGCAGCATGGTAATCTAAATTAGTCTTTGAAAAAACAGGGCAATCAATAAGACCATTAGCACTCTCCCTCCCCTATGTCTCTACATATAATAAAAGAAAGAGTCTGTCTGTGTGTGTGTGTGTCTTTCGTTCCCACTGCGCATAAGTTAATACACCCACGGCTACGAAATTTGGTACATAGATGCTTCGAGACAAGAGCCAGTGCACCTCAAAGCGATTTTTTCGAAATTCGAATTCGAATTTTTTTAATTTCATGTTTTGTGACGAAATCGCATCATTTTGAGACATAATGGGCTATAGGAAAGCGAGATTTTATACTACACACTTCATTTTCACATCGTCATGAAACGTAGGCACTTAGCTATTTTACGAACTTAAAATAAATTTCATGTTTCAATAAATCGATTAAATACGAATTTATTTAACAAAGTAAGCTTAACACCTTTTCAATGGGATTTTTTCTAAAAAAGTTTATTTTTAAAAATGTACAGTTTAATTTTCTTTGATTTTTGGACACGTTAAACTTTCATTGTTGCGACTGCTTTTACAAAAAGAATTTTGGAAAAATGACAATATTTTGTATTTTTTAAAAATGTTTTAAATGAAGCTTCTGAATACACTTCTCACATCTCACATATTTAAAAATGTGATTTTGGCAACAATTTTCCTGTCTTATTGTTGTTGATAGATTTTTGATGAAATCGCATCATTTTGAATAGTTTCATTCTTTTAGAAATATGGATTTGGCAACAATTTTTCATCGTATTTCTTATGTCAGTGTTTTTAAGAGATTGGCATATTTCATTGTCATTATATATATATATATAATACATTTTTATTGATTTTTTTAATAAAGTTGTTCTGCAGAGTAAAATTCTGTGTGGAATTTTATTTTATTTATTATTATTATTATTATTATTATTATTTTTTTTTTTTTGAGTTGCTTTTATGTTATTTTTTGCTTATTTCACTGCTTGTTAAGATATTGAAAAGTTTTGCATGATTTTCTTTCTTCAATGGAAAGTTGGTTAATTTTTTTTATTAGGATAATTAATATTTGTTTAATTAATTTAAGGGATATAGCTTATTTCATTGTAATTTTTTTCTCTTGAAAATATAAGATGAAATATCATTAATTATACTTTGCTTTTCATTTTTTGTTTTTTGTATTCTTTTGTTATTTATTGCTCCTTTCACTGTTTTTAAGATATTGAAAAGCTTTGAGTGATTTTTTTCAGGAAACAAAATTCTTAACCTGCTTTATACCATTTGAGTTCTTAAGATTTTGCAAAGGGAAGTTGGTTAATTTATTTATTAGGAAAAATAATATTTGTATTAAGGGATATTGCTTATTTCATTGTAATTTTGTTATACGTAATAATTTTTTTTTAATGAAGTTGTTCTGCAGAGTAAAATTCTACGCAGTTTTTAAATATAACGTTTGGTGTTCCCTTCAGCCATTTTTCCAGTACATTTAAAAGCCAGACGAAGGCTGGCAGCGAAGCTGCTAGTTTATAATGAAGAAAGCAAATAATAATCGTAGCACCTAGTTTTCTTCTTTTTGAACCTAAATGTCAGTATGAATATATTATGGTAATTTATTATTATTATAATTTTCCAGATAATTATAGAGCTTTTGCAAATTAAAATATTTACAAATATATACCAGTTTTCAAATACCTCACATATTTTTTTCACATTCATTGCCAAGTCCAGTTTTTTTGACAAATACCTGAACATTATGAGAGTTCTTTTTGATAGTATTGAGAATCAAAAAATAAGATAATAATTATAATTATAAAACTTCAATACTATCAGAGACACTAACTTGTGAAAACAACTAGATACAAAAACTCTTTTGAAGAAATTTAAGAACAAATGTAAAAGTTATTTTCCAAAAGAAAGCATAAAATATTATATTTAAGATATAACTTCAGAATTTGTTTCATTAAAAGTACATGTCAAACTTTCAATTTTATTTTGTTTCAAAATCAATGCAATGCAAAGCCTGAAACATGAATGCCTAATAACCAGAATCAAATAAGACTTGATCAAATAAGTTAAGGTTTTTTAGATCTAGATTTCTTTCAAGAAAAATGAAATTTCTAATTTTCAAAATGCTTATCAAACCTGTTTTGACATACGCTTCAGAAACTTGGACACTGACAACACTGGAGAAGAATTGTATTACAATTTTTGAAAGAAAAATTCTACAGAATAAAAAATAATATTTGCAGAAGGAGATATAGCTTTACAAAGGATATGAACAATTTGATAGCTTAAAATATATAAAAATTAACAGAATGCATTAGATGGCTCTAGTGATCCGAATGCAAAATGACAACGTCATTTTTTTTAAAAATGTACTTTTTTTTAAACCGACTGGAACCTGAAAGCAGACAAGCCCATGGCTAAGAAAGTTAATTCAGTGGAGTCAGATTTTTTAACATTTAATAAGAGGAACTGGAGATTGAAGATAAGCAAAGAGTCATCATGAAGGAATCTTCAAAAGAAGGCTTTGATCCACAATGGGCTATCTGGCCACCTATGATGATGATGAATAAACATAATCATCTATCCAGACTACACTTTTTTTGGGGGGGGGAATTTTTTTATCCCTTGTGCATTGTGTGAATGAAGAATATGATATTCAAGAAAAAGAAAATTTGCTTCCAGTAGATTTTGTTCCAATTAGCTGAGAGTTCTGATTATTTCTTTTTCTGAAGAATATCATTCTATATATATCTGAAATAAAGTAGTACCTTGAGATATGAGCTTAATTCTTAGCTCACTTGAAGACATAGCCAACTCTGCAGTCTCCTACCAAAATTCCATTTCTTGCTGCATCTGTAATTTCATCAACTCCTCCACTATTAGTTCTCTGGATTGTGTGGTGACAAGCTCTTTGATATATCCCTCCTCCACTTCCAGGCCCATGGACTTTCCAAGATATATAATCTCTTCCAGTAATTCCTGTTCTAGTCTAAATCCTTCAAAGTCCCTTTTGGTCACAATGTCAGGGCACAGGTTTTTCCATGCAGATCTCAAGTTTTTTTTTTTTTTTTTTTTTTTTTTTTTTTTTTTTTTTTTTTTGTAACACTCCGCCAGGCCATATCATTAATTTTGAGGCATACAGCAATGTTATTATGGTCCTTCCAGAACTTTTGAAGGGTGAGAATGTGTTTGTGTTCTCCATAACCTCAAAGCAGTGTTGAAACATGTATTTGGTAAAACGCTTCTTGGAACTGGAGATCACTTGTTAGTCTATGGACTGTAGGATAGACATGGTGTTGGGTGGAAGGTAAAGAATCTTCATAAAAGCTGAACTTCTCGAGGATGTCATCCTCATGGCAAGCAGCATCGCCAAGTCCAAGGACTCTAGGTTTTCAGAGTACCTATGATAATGAAACCATTTACCTCCACATCAGAAGAGTAAAGTTTGTGCAGAGTTAAGAACAAAGAGAAAACAGGGGTAGAATAGGAAAGGGCAACATGACCTAAGAAATAAGAGGAGGAAAGGAAGACTCAAGTCTCCATAAAGAAAGAAATGGGTGAGAAAAGGGAAGATACTTATGGAAAATAGGGTCCGTGGAAATGGAACATACATCACAAAGTGAAAGAGGATGGAGAGGGAGTAAGCTGGGCCAAGGCCCGAGCTTATTAAAAGTGAAAAGGATTTAGAGGCAGGTTATTATTACAGGACTATAAGGAAAAGTTTTAGGTAGCAATGTGGTGAAAATTTTTTCATGTCTTCAGCAAAATTGATGAGAATCTGGAAAGCCTATTTTTCTGCAGTGCTGTTAGCATTTCTAATGTTCATAATTGCATTCATGGGGTTTCCCAAAAAGTCCAACATTTTTTCACTCTTTAGCCAATGCTGCTGCAATAGCTTCATTCAGCTGTGGTGGGATTTCTGAGGCTCTTTGCTTTTAACTTTATCTAGACGGGTTGGTCCCTTGGAAGCAATGGGTGTGTCAGTAGAGAAGTTGTTAAGGAAAAAAAAATCATCACTTGTTAAAGCAGGAATTTTCTTAGCTTGGTTGTTGTATCAATTTTTCAAATTTCTGTTTATAATCATCTGACATCCTTGATAGCAACATGTCCTTTGCCATAAAACAGACAGGTAGGTTTTTCTTCAGGTTTTAGGGGGCAGAGTACACTTGATTAAGGAATGATTAATTGGAATGATTAAGTCTGCATTTGCAGCATCTCTCCACTTTGAAACAAGAATGCTGGGTATGATCGTATGCTTAGCTACGGTAGCACTGTGACGGTCTTTTTCTAGGCACATATCAATCAGAATATTCACATTAAACATATTATTCATACTGAAGATAGCACTGCCAGCTGCAATTCTCTGGAGCTCTATAAAATAGAGGGGAAACTTTTCAAAGTTATTTTCGCTGGATTTCCTAAACTGTTGTACCTTCAGGATGGAAAAATTTCAGCAGGCAATACCATCACTTATGGCATCTTCAGTAAATGAGTTGGGAAGGTTCTTGGCCACAGCTTTGACGCTTTTTTTCAGAATTTAGTTAGTATGAGTGAAAAGGGATCTTCTTGTCATGAAGACTAGCAATAACAGCAGGGTATTCACTAATGGATTGAACCTGAACGTAGATGGAATGCTGTCTCATCTGAGTCTCGTGTGAACTACAAAGTTCCGTAAAAATAACAGTAATAGTTCCGTAAATAGTTATCTAGTCCACATTGTCTAGAGAAAATAAAACTGGTGGTTTTTTTTTTTTTTTTTTTTTTTTTTTTTTAGTATTCGGAGGAGGAGATTCAGGCTCTCTGGCATTTACAGGAAGCTTGTCAAATTTATTAATGAGGGAGATTCTTGGAACCACTGTAATTTCTTTAGGGATCTTCAAAGGTTTTATGTTTCTTGTGACTGGGTTGCTTGACCATGCAGTCGACATTCGCATTTGCATACAGTGTGAGAGTCAACCTATCTTTTATGGCCTCGTGACCTAGAATCTTCTTTTCTTCTGCCATTATGTAAGTTTTGCTTGGCATTTTCTTCCAGAAGAGCCCTCTCATCACAGCTGAACACTTTTTGGCGGATGTAACGGATGTAACCTTTGGCTTCGACCAAGCTCGCTGCCTTATCATACCTGACAATGGAATGAAGGCCAGTCCATTTTAGGAAATTCTTCAGCCACACTCGACTGGCTTTGAACTGCTCCTGTGCTGAAGTACCTGGGCTCTGCTTCAGCAAATCTGTGTGAATGATTCGTGCCTTTTTGCAAATTATAGTCTTTGTCACAGTGTCTCCAGTGAGCTGCTTCTCTGTCAACCATAATATCAGCAGATTCTCCATTTTTTCATGAACAAAGATGGGAAGCTTTGAAATAATTTTAATGCCCTTAGCAGGAATTATAGCCTTTATCAAGTTCTTCTGCTTCAAAATAGTACATATTGTAGAAGCTATAAGATTGTACTGCATTGCCAGTTCTTTTAACTCTTACGCCTTGCTCATGTTTTTCTATTACCTCACACTTTAAATCCATAGATATGACCTCCCCCCCCCATTATTTTTTACATTTATCTTTTTGGTGTTATATGACAAATAAATTAGCTAAATAACTGTATGTGCCAATAAAAAAAACATAAAATTAAAACAACATGATAAAAATACTTATGCAAGCAAGGTGAATTAAAATGGCAGGTTAGTCCAAGTGGTGGTGTCATCACAGCTAGTTTGCACGTGCAAGACTTGCAAATCAGACTGGTGTTTCAGATTTATGAGTGCCAACTGCTCTGACATCACTGACACTAGCTTGTATCTTAAATTTTAACTTGAAACTCAGGCCAGAAACTGGACCTAGCAACTACTTGTATCTAAGAAAACTTGTATGTTGGGCGCTCATATCTCAAGGTACATGCTGTTTCACCTGCTGGTTAATGAACCATATTTTCATTTTCAGCCCTTGAGTGGTTGTGGGGAAGGAATTCAGCATTTTTCAATTATAGTAGTACATGAAAATATGTGAAACCCAAAGTAATACACACAGTATGTGAAACCTATAGACCAATGTTTGTTTGGAGTGGAATGTTATGCATATTGGTTTTCTTTTGTTGACATAGCAGAGAAGAAAGGCGAAGGAATTAGATCTTGATTGAACAAAAATTCAGTTACCACTACCAACTGCAATCTTTCTTAACTTTCTGATTTGATCCAACATATCAGTCTACATATCAGTCTTTTCAGTCTACCATTATTACTGCTACTTTATCCAAATTAATGTTTTAGTAAATATATAACATTTATGTTTTATTCTTTCCTCGAAAACTGCAAATTCGTTAGTCAACCCATATATATTGGCAAAAGATATGGCCATTTTGGGTTATGTCACATTTTAATTTCACAAGATAGTTATTCAAACAGCTGTTGTTTGCATAGTAAAACTTATTCTTGATGAAACAGTATAATTACTTGTTCATCTCTTGGCAAACTTGAAATCATGAAAATACATTTCAGTTAACAACAAAATAGATGAAAAACAAGGTTACACCAGAAAAGAAGTTGTGATGCTTGGAACTGGAAGAAAAATACACACATACACAAAAAGGCCAAGTGACTTTTACAGGAAAGATATACAAAATGTTCCAACTAATGGAATACGTGAAGAAATGCAAAGAGATGCTGAATGGAGATAATATAGATAAATTCCTTATTGTAATGGCAATGTTTCAATCATGAATCAATCAATCAATGGCAAAATATGAAGTATGGTTTTAAATCTGGAAAATATATTGCCATAGATTGTGAAGACTACGATACAGAGTTTGTTAAGAATGAAAAGATTTCAGTTGACAATTTAGTGTGATTTCTCAACTTAAACAATGGAACTTTATAAGCAAGAAATTATGTCATTCTATAAAATTAAACAGACAAAAAGCAAGACACAAAATGAAATTGCTTAAACAACTTAAGTTGAAATAAATGTTGAATTCAACAAAAATAAATGTTAACATCAAGCTTTTTCTCATAAATTTGGATCATTTTAATATAGCAAATATTTCATTATTTCACAAATGACTATTTCATATTTTTAATTTTACAGTACGGAAGTCAAGCAATATATGTTATGGTTATATTTTTCCCCTTTTTTTATTCTACTATGTTCCTTAATTTTTACTTATTTATTTATTATTATTAAACATACTCCCTTTGAATCTGAAACAGTTGGGCATATTACCTTAATTTTTAGTTCTAAAGCAATTTTTAGAGACATTATTGGTCAAGTCTAAAAGTACTCCCTTACTGCAAATAATGCATACTTTTCTCATGCCTTAAAAAAATATGTCCTTATATTTCAATTAAAATCATATTTACCATTTCTACCAGCAACAACAACCTGAGTCGCATCTCTGTTAGTCGCAAGAGCATTTGCAGAACCTTCAAGTGTAACAAAATGAGTTAGTGGCTCCACAGCTGTTGCTTGCATTGGAAAACCAATGTCCTTAATTTCTCTAAAAACAACAAAAGAAAAAAAAATTAGTACAATAATTAAATTTCAAATAATACATACACTGGGGGGGGGAGTATTGACAATTGTACTTTTAAAGGCATATTTCCTAATGTAAATTAAAATATAAAATAAAAACTATAATGTATATTGTCATAAGTGACTAGATTTTTTTTTTTTTTTATTTTTTTTTTTATGCTATCAATATACTCATAAAGGATAAAATAAATAAAATAGAAATAAAAAAAGCATTGGTAAAATTCATTTCATTGTGCTGAAATCACATGTTTGGATTGAAGAAACAGGCTGTTAATATAAAGTCAGGAGTGTTACTTCAAAACTTTTATATCCTTTTTTTAAAGCTGAAATAAAATGTCTGAAATCAAAGGAGTTTGATGTTAGTGTTAGAAGTACTATTACTAATCTTAGAAAAGAGAACTTAATACATCATTAGAAAGCAACAAAGCACAAGTTTATTAATAACTAGAAGTGTTGTGAAAAGTTTCAAGAAACAGTTTCAATACCCACAAGGAAAAAATGTTATATTATCAGAGAAGTCGAGAAAAACAAAAAACAAAAAAAAAAAAAAAAAAAAAAAGTACAGCACAGTTAGCCCGACAAGAGGCAAAAAAATTCCACAAACATTAAGTGTACTTACAGTGCGTGATGTTTTACAAGACAGTGATTATTATGGAATAGCAGCGTGAAAGAAACTTCTCTTTGAAAAATAAATAAATAAATAAATAAAAATAAAAACAGGACAAAGAGACTAGACCTTGGAAAAGCTAATGTTAATCAACCAGCAGAATTTTGGAATAAAATAATTTTCTTGACTGAATTGATATTGAACTTTTTTGGGAGTGATGAAAGGCAATATGTAGGGAGAAAGCCAAACACTGAATGAGCTTGGAACACAAAAATACCGTGAAATACGGAAGAGGCAGCATCTTCATTTAGGGCTAAGTAATGAATCAATGAAGTATAGTTGATAACCTTAACTCCACTGAGAAAAAAAATGTCAGCATTACTGTAATTTAAAGGCAAAGCAGTACTTAACTTGGGGACATCATTTTTGTTTTAGGGTGACAGCGATCCCGCATACAATATATAAAACACAGAAATGCTTACTCTATATAACATATCTTGCCAGTAGAAAACACCACCTCGGTCACAGGACCTTAATCCAACTGAAAATTTAGAGCACCAATTTTACACCTAGTTATCCAGAAACATAAAATTTTATCTAAAGAGGAGTTTACGCATAATACTTCTGCCAGAATGACAAAAGATATCCAGTGGTATGACAAAGACAATGAATTCATCAATAAAAAATTGACTATCAGCAGTTATAAATATAAAAGATATGCATACAAAATATTAAATAGTTCCCATTTTTATCCATCATGTTGCTGTATGATTTTGCCAATACTTTTTTGACATGCATATTTATGTCTAGTTTCCATTTTATTTCTCAAGCATATTAACTCAGTGAGTGGCATGACCGCCTTTAGTCATGAGATTTTTTTGTCACTCGGTACATATTAGACTATAATTTAAAAGATGTTGCTTTTTTACTTTTTTTAATAATGTAAATATCACATTGATGAATGGAAGTTTAGGAAAACAAAGACTATAAAAAACAATTACGAAAGTTTACATAACAGAAGTTTAAATACAGGTTTTCATGAGGATAGCTTAAAAAGTCGTGCCACTCGGAGGATTAAAATGTCAGTTTCATTATATATGAGCTTTTGTCTTTCTACTTCATTACATTTAAAATGTGAATCATTTCCTCAATTAAGTATGTTTAAATATACAACTGTCAATACTATTTTTTTTACCTACTGTACATTTTTCAACTTATTAATTTAAACAAACATGGCTAAGTCTGAAAAAAAAAAAAAAAAAAAAACAGAGAAAGTACATTTTACTAACTATGCTTATGTTACTTCAAGAAAAGTATAATAATTTCCTGGATTATGTTATATTATATAACATCAGCATGGTAATTTAAGGGAATTATTTTTTATGGTGAAGATGTCAATGGAGGAATGCCCTTGTAGAGAACATTTCAAAGGAAGATTTTTAGTTTCCTAACTTCTAGCATGTATTTACATTATATATAAAGAATCTGAGGGGGGAAAATTGGTCATTCTTCTGTTATCAGGGCCAGATTCAGAAATGTACATATATATGCATACATGTATGGATGGATGTGCTCATGTATGCATGTATATATGTATGTGTATATACACATACATATATACACATACATCCATACATACATGCCTACATACCCAGATTTCTGAATCCGGTCCCAATAACAGAAGAGTACCAAATTTGTCCTTTTCAATTAGCAATAATACTTCAAGAAGGCTTTGGAACCAAGCTCCAGAATTTCAATTATAATCAGTTTGATTATAAATAAACAACAAAAATCACCAAGAGTACATCTGAAGATTTTCAGTATTTAAATGTGGTTATCAGAATCAAAATTTATTAAGCTAAAGTAGCAATTAATTTCTAATCGTTATGTAACAAATTTATTTAAAATATTTTTGTAACTTTATAAATAACTACCCATCATAACAATCTTAAAAAGTTTGCCCACAATTGGTAACACAGTTTCCTAAGTAATTCATGCAATACTCTTTTTTTTATAAAGTAAAATCTGCATACTATAGTCAAACAACTATAGAACAAAATTTGACAGAATATTTTTGGCAAAATCTGCCTGTAATTCGGAAGGAACTTTGTGTAAATATATAAAACAAAAAAATTCAAACGTAATTTGTAATAAATTTTCAAATTTTACGGCAAAATTAACAAGATCCTTAGTCAATGTATATTTAAAAAATGAATATTTTTTCAGAATGTGATAACTTAATTAAAGTGAATGCTAGAAGTAATGATACAATAGTCATTATTTCATATACTAGGGTTAAATCATTCCAGATTGCAGGTATTTTCTATAAAAGCTAACTTTATATTTTTGTTTACCTCCCAACTGCGGGAAACATGAAAACTTTGATGACTATTGCCAAACTTTATCTATGTTATTTGACAAAAACTTTTAATATTTTTACTTTCAAAATTACAGCACGAAAACTTTTCTGTCAAAATACACTTATTTTTTCTTCAGTAAACACTGAATGTTATTCTGACGTTTTATTTAATAATAAGTAATATGGGAAAACAAAGTAGTGAAATTAGTAAACTAATTCAACAGATAACATTAATTTAAACTAACTTTTAAGATCATATGCATGAAATAATTCTCAAATGCAATATTTGGATGGAAACAATTCATAATTCATAAACAACCGTTTTTCAGTTTAAATTAAATGTTTCACAGCGCAACAGCGCAATAATATGAAACTTCACTATTTAAATCTCTTATACATAAATATGAATACAGTTTTAAAATATAAAATTATCTGAAAATGATTTATGTTTAAAAATAACTTAAAAATACTTTTTTATCTATTTAAAAACAAACAATTACTTAAATTCAAGCAACTAACATGTATAGTTTTTGTAACTAATGTAAACTTTTATGGCAACACCTTTTAAACAATACCAAAATAAACATTGTCTGCTTCGCGTAATTCGCAGAGAAATACTGGTTTGTATAATAAATGTGAATGTAACGATTTGAATGATATAGATCTACCTGTTCATTTCTTGAGTTCATCATTTTAAATATTATAATAACAAGTTTCAAAAGTCTAGCTGGGATATTCGTATATTCCGTCGTATATGACATTATGCTGTTTCTTGTAGCGTTTAGGTGAACGTCTTTTATTTACTTGACGAATTTAATGCGTATTTTTTATAAGATATAACATATTTTTAAAAATATTGAAAAATGTTCATCAACTTAATGGTTCAGTTACAACCGAAGGAAGCGTTTAAATTGAGCACGTAGTCATGTAAACTGGACTGAAAATCAGAAGTCTGCTCTGTTCACTGATGAGTCCCGTTTTGCTTCTCAAAATGATGATGAGGAGCGATTTTACATAGAGCAAAGCAAACACGCGATATTTTCCATTTAACATACAGGAAAGGGATACTTATGCAGGAGGCAGTGTTCTTGTATGGGGAGGAGTATCTTTAAGTAGGCGCACACATCTGTGTGTGTAGTTTCTTGAAGAAGAAATTATTGTCCAAATGGAATGGTTAGCATGCTCTCCTGGCCATTGAGTAGGTGTCAGACACTTTCGGGAGGTGTGTTGCTGGCTTCAAAACCCCTTCCCAGCACAGAGATGGGTTTAGAACTGCTTTACGTGTTCAGTTTGCTCTGATACCCATGCAGCTCATTGACAACATCATAAACAGCAAAAAACATCGCTGTCAGGCCTGTATTGCTTTTCTGGGTGATCATACTCATTATCGAGAAAATTTTTTTGTATTTAATTTGTATGTCCAAATTTAGAAGATTTTATGTTTCTGTTCATATCACAAAACATACATATTATCTAAAATATTTTGTGTTTTTAAGTGACAAGTCGTATAATAAATATTATCGCCAAATTTTGTCCAATTTGCTTGCATACTTTGAGTTATCGTCAGTTTTCCATATGTTTAACTTTTGAAAATTAGTGTCTAGATATATTTGAACCAGATATAATATGGGTTCACACAGAGTGGATTCTGAAATCGTAGACCTTTTGAAACTCCCAATCAATATCATTAAATATCAGATAATCACAGAATTAAAAACTTAATTTAATACAGTTCTTAAAATAGTGAAGTTTTTCACATTTAAGGACCTTAAATGGATCCTTGAAAAATCTCTTACACCACTTTTTGATTGAAAATAACTATTGTCCTAACCTAAAGATTTTTTTGCTTGCTGTAACTGAATTATCCTTAGTTGTTATTCTTTTACTGTTAAAATTTGTGATTTTTCCCCCTTCTCAGTTCATGGAACTAGGCTCATAAAGATTACATTTTGGAATGTGACAAGGGTCATGAGATTAGCAGGACTAGATGCTTTCAAAGCCAAATTACATGACTACCATTGAACTGTTTTAGAAACTAAATAGGGTTTAACTTGATAGAAAAAGAAGTTGAGAATTTAGGACCAGCAGATACAAATTGAGATTTTGGATTGGTACAAAATTGATGTAAAATATTGGGAATAAAGGACATTTGAAAAGAATCTAGGTTGTGATATATAGGTGTATATATATATATTATATAGGTGAAAATCTTCATTATTATTTTGCTGTAGTTGCAGCATCTAAAAATCCAGATGATAATTGTTAGTGTAGATCCATTTATAACTTGTTTTGTAACTTAGTATTTTCGATTAATGTTTATATTATAGTGCATAGAATAATTATTGCGAGAGAAATAAATATGTAGAAATTTATCACAAGATAAATATCTTGGTCACTGGAAGTTTATTTTATCTAGTAGTAGATTTATCAAAATGATATGTGTTAAATATAGGTGACAGAGAAGTATTGTGATATATTTTTGAAAATGATAATATATCAAGTATACTATGCTTGTTCTTTTATGTACAAATTTCAAAACTCTCTTTTATTTCAGATCAGAAAATTTTTACTTTAAAATGAGTATTTTTTTTTCAATAATATTCAGAATGCAAAATTAAGGGAAACTACACAACAACTGCAAATTGTTGACTAATACCCTAAGCATTGCTAACACACTTTTTTTATTTAAATTTAGCAAAATGTTTCAGAGCAATATTGATAGTAAAATATAATAATAAAATTTTTCTATTGATACCAGTTTGCTTTTTGAGAGTAAAATATATCTTTAATAATACCTTGAGCATATCCATACAACAGAAGAATTTGCCATACTTATTTAAATATTGACAAATTTATAGATGCACAACAGGATTATAAGAAATATTTCATCTATTTTGTGAATTACTCGACACAATATAAAATAAAAATTGCTGTTCAAATCTTTATATAATGTGTGTTTCTAAATAATTTAATGGAATGTAGCAAATGAATTTTAGACAGCTTTTACTGAACCACCAACTTTTTCATATATTCTGATTAACAAAATACACATATCAAAAGCTAAATCTTTTCTGCTGTGCATATTCATTTAACAGTTATTCTTTAATTACTATTCATGTTTAATTAATTTTAGATTTATATGTTATACTTGCTATGTAGTTAATTCCAAGTTTATAAACAACCTTCTTTAATTCTTTGGATCCTATTTGAACCAGCAATAGATAAAACCACTGAACTATAGCAGCTGTATTTTACAGTTTAAATTTCTGTAATGGGGTGTAATGAGCTGGCTACATAGTAGTTTAGACTTTTTCTTCTGAGCATAAGTATAAATACAAGCTAATTAAAACCTCACCAAGCCGTCCCTTTGATAGAACACTGCCTTCAGGCATTTTGCCATATTAATCTTATCCAGCCTGTCTAGATATTGGAAATATGTTTTTGTTAGTAACTCATATATACAAAGCTTACCTTTGTGTTTTTTGTCGTATTTGTGTTTCTACAGTATTAAACATCAGAAATGTAATCTTTACCGTGAGTAGATACAACGCTTAATAATGTAACACATGCTGAAAGAAGGCACCTTTTTTAAAGGAAATAATATGCTTATTTAATAAATTTGGCTTACAAAATGACATTTAAGATCTTGTGTTTTTAATACATACAATTATTTTCTGTTCAAGTAGGCAGTAGAAATTTCTTTTTAAGATGATAAGTTTCACACAAATGATAAAATTATGTTAATTATATCACTAAAATATTTATTCATGAGTCATTATTTCAATGGTTCTTTTCCATTAAAGTCATACAACTTACCGCCTTTTTGTTTTGGTGTGTTCCTTGCCGCCAGGCATCGCCGGTTTAGTTTGGCCTCTGTACTGGTGAGAATCGTCTTCGTAACCATCGTTGCCTCAACAATAAGTATTTTATTTTATCGTAAATTCAAGTGTTTTATTTTATTGTAAATTTAGGATATGCGTTGAGTTAATGTAAAGTCATTTTTAGATCTCTTAAAAGAAATCTCATTCAATTAAAAAATATTTTTTGGTTTCGAATTATCAGTTCTGGAATTTTTGAAAAATCTCATGACAAATCTGCAAAGATTGATGTATTCTGTTATACACTTCTGGCCGTCCTAAGTGCAGCACGAAGAAGGACGAGATATCAAAGCCAGATTTATTTCAGAGATTACCCATAGTATCAGTATTAATCGATTTGAAATACAGCATTCTTTGAGGTGAGGAAGACGAGAAAATCGGTAATGAGTGTTGCCCCACGTCTGTCAGTAACCGTTGTTAAACTCCGCGGGATTGAGTGAAAGAGGCTTTGGATATGTTGTGGGGAATGTCACACGTAACCAAAGTTCATCTGGTGTATCCGTGGGTGCGGCATGCCGAGCTAAGCATTCTCCAGTCATTGAACAGACACGTTTGATGGCAATAGATCTGAAGAACGGGCAGGCTAGGGTAACAGTGTAGTAGAGAGGGCTAAGAAGAAAGCTTGAACATTGTGTGCAACATGTGGTCGCGCATAGTCTTGTTGAAATGTGGCCGCAGGCAAGTCCTTGAGATAAAAAAAGAGAACAGGCTTCAAAACATTAGAAATATAGCATTGGCTGGTAAATATATCGGTAATGCGTCCCCAGGGAGTGTGGAAAAGTGGAATCCAATATCACCTCACCCATAATACCGGGTGCAGGACCAATATGACGATGCATTACACAACAGTCGAGCAGTCTCTCTCCACAGTGTCTCCAAACTCCAATCCGACGATTTGGTACTGCAAACAGAAGCCTGATTCGTTCGAAAACACAATGTCATGCCATTCGGATGTCTATCTTTGACGTTTAGTGCACTACTGCAAACAGAAAAACGCGTATGTTTAAAGGTAATGGAAGTCTAACGAGCAGTTCATTGTACTGTAAAAGACTTCGATTTTTTAGTACAGACACCGATTGTTATGTTTTAGGCGGCAGTCGTTATGATATGGTTGCAGACGTGGCAGTGTACTCCATCAGTGCCATGTGCACAATATGCTTCTTTTCCCGAGGAGCCTGTTCCTGTCCGTTAATCATTCCCTCCTACATCCACCTAGTTCATATTCGCATGGCTGTTCCTTGTCTACGTCGTATATTATGACTGATTTCTCCGAAGGATAATTTGAAATCTTTGTATGCAACGATTCTGCCTCGATCGGACTCAGAAACGTGCTCGAATGATATGAGGTATACTAAAGTTGCTCATACCAAAAAACTCACGAGAAACAATTCACATTATTCTAAATGGCAATCCCTCCTCCTTTTATATTCGGACTGTAAGGAGCGCTATAGTCGCCCATGATGTGCGCGTGCGCTAAAATCGTAATCATTTGCATATTCTATCTCGTATGTATGAACACATGATACAAGTTTCATGATGTTTGGATGCTTTGTTCATGATGTTGCATTTTAGATGGCCAACAGTTTATATGCAACTTCGTAATTCTCGAACATCATGAGGATGACAACAAGGGAGTCAGCCTTTCTGTTCTCTGGATCGTTAGTTGGAGACTATGATATGACTCAAAAAGAATATCCCAGACGAACCCTTTTCGTTTCGACGGCCTCATTATTCGATGTTGATGTCTTGCGATTTGGAGAACGTATACAAGAAATATGCGGTGCAAGGACGAATGAAACTTCTTAGTTCAAGAATATCTCGAGTATGATATTAGTCACAAGCAGTGAGCTTTAAGTGAAACTTAGTTGTCATACGCAGCCTTTTCTCGTCAGAATCACATTCAGCGAATATGGTTTGGTTCAAGCAACATCCATCGAACAGCTTGCTGCTGCTAATGTTTGCACTATTTTGTGCAAAAAGTACTTTGTGTAAAATATACTTTGTGCTAACGTTTGCTGCTGTTATGTTTGCACTATTTTTCGAAGCATTCGCCAGTTGTTATTCAGAAATCCATTCGACTCTTATAATATTATTCAGATAAACTAGGCAGTTTCGTAAGACAGTCTTCATAAAACTGTTTGGGTTAGAATTTTGAATGTGGCTGGAGCTTTGCATAATGAAACAACATTGAATAAATTGTTACAATTCATCTCCCAAGGTAAACTCTTTCGATTTACGATCCTAAGGGATATTTTTAATCTGTCAATTGTCACTTTCGATATGTAGTTTGAAAAACCATTTATTTCTAGCTCTAATTTTTAAGCTTTCAGATCCTAGGCTGGGGGTAGCTGTCTTTTGCCATGTCATTCTGACTTTTCTGTCTATATAAAGTCTTTCTAAACTATAATATTCCTGAAACCAGAACAATGGATAACGCCAGAATCTCGATAATAGTTCAACGATATTGTTAATTTGAATTTATTATTGAAGCTTTCCAGTCTTTAGTTATTGAGTGATACCGATCATCAAAGATGCTTAATAGGTGAAAACTATCTTGTGATGATCTTTGCCTGTCTTATGATGCATCAAATTCATTCTCTTAGACCGTAGGCAAGTCTGAAAAGACATCTTTATGTCTTTCTATTAATTATAAGTTCCTATTTGACTTGTTTCATTTCGTCCTTGCGTATGAATCTTTCAATAGACTAAGAGATCTCGTCTAATCACTTTACTTTGCAGATTCTTATGTAATGATGACAACATAAGCACGTGAACAATTTTGTTTCTCTACCTCAGAACTTGGGTTTCATATGTATCGTCTGTCCAACCAGGAAAACTTTATCTACCAAGTATTTCTAACTCCAGCTAGTTTAGTTAGAAGAAGATGAAAATTAGCGAAACGAACTTGTGCAGTGAAAGTAAAACTTGCAGGCCGCGTTTCGAAGGTCTGATCGCATTTCTATTCTCTTTTGCAAGGGGGAAAAAAAAAAAAAAAAAAGAGAGATTACAGTAACATATGCCAAGGCACGAACTCAGAAGGAGAATATTCTCAATATAATAAAAACAGTGGTTCCCAATCTTTTTTGCCCAATGCATCCCTTTTGTCAATGGTAGAAAATCAGCCCCCCTCCTCCTCCTTTCCAAAAATCCTAAAGTGCAAACAAATTTATTTAAATAGGAATTATTTTTGAATCTGTGTCATAAATAAAATAAGAAAAAATATAGAAAATGTTGATAAATACCAAAGCGTTATTTTATTTATTTATTTATTTTTATGTATCCATAAACTGAAACTAAATATTTAACAAGTATATAAAAGGCTGAACGCATTCCTCATAAAATTAATTTCCTTCTGTTTGAGAACTTCTGTAATAAAACTGCAAAAATACTGATACTGCAAAACCCATTAAAAGAAATTGATGCCATCTATGGATGGAAATGTGAGCAAGATACAAGTGAAATCCATTACATTACAACTATTGAAGCGCCTTTAGACATTGAAGAGATGATGTTTTCATATCCCTTATGCCATCGGCCTGTAATCCGAAGAGAGAGGATTTCGTTATCATGATTGCCGAATAGTGGTTTGGTTCGGTTTATTTGATTATGGCTAAGCATTCGAGGGCTTTCTGCTTAAGGAAATGGATGCCTTCGTGGAGGACTTTGGGATGGAAACTGGCTCGTATACACTTTACACATGGGGAAAAGACAGCCAAGTGGGATTCGAACCGCGGACTGAAGTACCATTGTTCATCGACAATGCGTTCATCGAGCAATAACGCTCGGCCACTAGTGGTACTTTATTCTTTAGGTTCAAGTATCTACGTACTTCAAAGGGTAATTAATATACAATAAAGTCTCTACTGGATGACCAAAAATGGTTTGGACAGAATACAATTGTAGTAATATTCAGTATTGATCTTCATTTATGTTCTGAAAAGTATCTAACCACATCTAGAAATAATCGACATGACTGATTGCTTTCTTTTTTTTTTAATTATTGTGCGTTATTTTTGTGTCCTTTTAGGACAGTTTTTAATGGCAGACCAAATCCTGTCACATTTCGTCAATCTAATTTGGTGCGTATGCGCACGGCCGACATAACATGTCTGTGCATTTCTATTAGCAAAAATTGTAGAAAAACTTTTCTATGATCCTCTCTTGCCCTTAATGATGTTATGCATGAGAAGATGTAAATATGATGACTATAGTTTTTTGAGTACTGATCCGCAGTTTCTCTACCAGAGCCAGATTAAGACCTGTGGTGCTATGCTTACTGACATGCAAATTCAATATACCCTCAGAATTAATTTTACTAAATTTTTAAGTCGCTCTGTAAGTAACAGGAAAAGAAGTATTAAAAATCGCTTATTCTTTTGTTGTGTTGGGTACGCAAGACAGTGAGCTACCAACGGATGGTATTAATACACCTTCGGCACGCATAGGAGCTTAAGAAACATTTCGACAAGATAGTAGCAAAGAATATGTAGACAAGATAGTAGCAGAGAATATGTAGACAAGATAGTAAAGAATATGTAGACAAGATAGTAGCAAAGAATATGTAGACAAGATAGTAGCAAAGAATATGTAGACAAGATAGTAGCAAAGAATATGTAGACAAGATAGTAGCAAAGAATATGTAGACAAGATAGTAGCAAAGAATATGTAGACAAGATAGTAGCAAAGAATAGACGTTCGTTGATAGTACTGCCCTTGCAACTGTAAATCAAGCAAGCGCAGTGAAGTGTTGTGACAGTGTCGTTAAACGAAGTGAAACTTATAAAGATTCATTGTCGGATGAGAATTCACTCCAGTGTCAGATGTATGAGTTTGACATAAATGTACGAATGGACGGAAAAGCCGAAGACTGGTGCCACTTAAGATTCGTCTCACTTGGTTCCAACAATCACGGAAGGCGACATTGCAGCCGCAGAGAAAGTCATTTCGGCGCATCAGAATGAAAAAGTTTACGTCTCTACTAGACATTAATG